GACAAGGATAGTTTGAAGGGAACGCGGAAAAGTAGGAAGTGTGAGAAAGAGAAGAGACTACGAGAAATGGCAAGTGTGAGTAAAGGAGTAGGAATAGTGGTGCGTGTGGCAGAATGAAACGAGGGATCCGCAAGTTGAATCCACGCGGACGGCCTTGCACGTCGCCTTGCTTGTATTGATCAGCAAAGCTTGACAGTCCCGTAGCGTTACGATGGGCGCCTTCGTTCACCGATTACATATTTCGTCATATCGTCACGGTAGGCGCTATCGCGTCATTACTTCTGAAATTGATTTTTTTCTTTCACTTGTTGCAATTAAAAACATCCATGCCCCGGATAGAAACTATTTACTTGTTCGTATATATTTAACAAAATTCAAATTTCACGCTAGAATTTGAACAATCGTCAAGGGTATCTTTAGACGTGGAAAACTGGCATAGTAATCAACGTGTTAAAAATATAATCTAAGTTCGTGCAACGTGGGGGGTAATAAAAATGTTACTCCGAGTTAAGAACAATAGATAACAAACATACTAAAATAAAAATATCATCAACGATTTATTCTTTTCATTTTAAAGCTTTCGGTAACGTTGATTTGAATTATTCGTATAAAACAATGTTTTCGTACTTATTTGAACTTGTATCAGCTGACAGTATGACGCGGGAAACACGCGTATCTGATTGGTGAAGAAACGCACGTTCTATTCGCGACTGCGCATGCCTTTATTTCACTAGCAGACATATTGTGGCGCCATATGATAGATAGACAGATATATAGTGGCGCCACAGTTCATAGAACATTGTACTAAAAATGAGAAAATGTGTAGTGTGCGTTTATTTTGTTATTATTAATGTTGTCATCGGCATAGTAATCGTCCTCGTCGCTGGGACAATAATCCCTAACTCCAAACGAATACGGGATAATCAATAAATAAAAATTATAATGTGTACAGTATTGAATGCATTTTAGTATTCTCTTTAAAAAACTATTAGTGATCTGATGTTGAGAATTGATTAGTTTAGAAATTACGATTTTTGTTCCGAATTCCCATACAAGTGACACAATATGCGACGATTCCATTGACTCGCATGGTCAACGACCGCAGACGAAGACAATCGTTATCGCACACGGAATTGAACTTTATTCGTTACTGAAAATTGACATGTTTATATCTATTATTATTTTTTTATGGAGATATCGCCAATTGATTGGCAAACGTTTACGCAACGAAAACGAATTTTAATGGGACCTTGTTTTAACTATTTTTGGTTATACGTAGTTAAAAGTATATTAAAAGAAATTGCAAGTACCAAACACGAGTATACTCGTAATCGGTCATCAAAGTGTTAAAATTAATTTTTAACGCAAAGAGGCCGAGGTACACTTGCCGTTCTATCTCGCTACCCTTAGTGTATCCCGTTTATTCTGCTCGTCAAACGGTATATACATATCAACCTTGGCCTTGATCTGCGTTATAAAAAAAGGTCGATGCCTATAAAAAAAAGTGGTAACTCCTTTGACGTATATAAACGAGCAGAACTCATTCGGTTACATCCAAGCGGAGAACATAGTATAGTACACTATGACGTTGTATAAGCGTAAAATAAATTATTATAATATAACATTGATATATTTCCATTTTAATCAGGATGCGTCTGAATTATGACTTTGAACTGATCTTGAACTCTAGAAACACGACCAAGTTCAAAGACTATATTAAAATAGTATATTAGCTTACTGTTTGTGTTACTAAATACTAAAAAAAATGTCTTTTGACGAAGATGTATTGTATAAAACGACTAGGAAAATATCTTGTCTTAACTTTTCTCATAAAGAGGTTTTTATGAAGACATTTTTTTGGAATCTAAGGTCATAGATTAAACACAGTATACATATTAAAATTGGTTCTGGGCTGCAAGAAGGAAAAGTGTGCTTTTATACGAGAAAAACGACGGTTACCTTGAGAGAAAAGATTTTAATCTCATTTAATCAGGAATAATGAGGATAAGTAGGGTTTTGGTTCTGGTGGAATACCATGTATAATCCGAGAAACGTTATCGTAAATGATATTTGTTGTATAGTACAGGAAAGTTATTTAATTAAATATTACTTATCAAAGGCCTGTGGAAAATATCGACTAATTGCGTAAATGTACAAATCAGGTGCAATGAAGATATTGAATCAGGGTGAATGGACTCTCGTTAACCGAGATACGAGTGTAACGTATTGCGTGTGCGTTGACCTTCGGTCATAATCGGGTAACGCTAACGTATTTATTATGCTTTTTTTTATTGCTCATTTTTCTTCCTATAACATAAAAATGTATTGACTTTTTTTTAACTTAACGTTTGTTTACGTAGAAATGGTGGATATTGAAGCTTTATTTAACGTTTGTTTTGTATACACAGGCGACGATGTAATAAGAATAATTACAACTTTCTGCGATTGAATTGAAATTATTCTTATAGTTTCAAAAGTATAGTTTATTGCAATATTTACAAAATATTTAAAACGAAGGCACTAGAACGTCGCAGTTTGAAACATAATTCTCCTTTGAACAAAAACTACAACAAGCAATTAAATCCATTGAAGAACATCTTACAGTAGATGATTTCAAAAGACGTCTCGGAGGAGTCTCACAAAATAAGAGTTCGAACGCGATGATCTAACAATTTGGCTTTAGAATAATAGAAATGGCAATGTTTTTTTTGGCTTCCATAGTAATTTCATAATAGGAAAAGTAAAAAGAGCTCTAAGTCTAGAGATACTTATTAACATTGAATCTTTTTTAATAAATAATACTGTATCTATCTGGTATCACTGAATCGTTCTTGAAATAAAATTCAACAATGAACTTATTTCTTTCTCTATATCTTAAACAGTGTTTTTCTCGACTATTTTGTGGTATAATGCAACGATATCTCAAAATTTGCGTGGCCTATCGACTTAAAATTTGAATATGTTATAAATAGAACATTTATCTAAATAGGAAACCATACGTAGCTCATTTTTAAGTGGCTTGAATAAAAAAGTAAAATCATTCCACTCAGCGATTTGTAGCTCTCCTCATCTTCGGATACGTATGTTAAAACCTGTTGGATTTTTAATCCAGTTTTATTCCAGTGAATTGGTAAACAATCAAATTGTATAACAGTTTATTAGTTACATTATAGTCACATTTCTCTGTTCACAATAAAACTAAATATTTGTCACGTTGCGTGACAAATGAAAATGAAATGCAGTGAAAGTTCAAGAATCGACCTTTCTCAACGGTCAACGAGCATTCAATACTGTGCCATGTAGTCATTAACCCGACTACGTTAATTCGGAACGTTTACTTGGATGTTACCGATTATTCATCGTTATTATTATTGTTATTCGTTTCTAAGTGGTGTATTTATCGTTTTATTCGCCCTGGTGAAAACAGAAGCTTCGACTTTTTATAATCTTCTTTACACGAAATTGGCAATGTTTTCTAAAATAAAGGGGTTGTTGCAAAAAGAGATTTTGAATATATAAAGACGTGAATAACTTAATAATTTCTTTCTATTTACAATTTCTACGTATCTAATAGAAGCGATATTCGTAACTATTTATTGTACATCTGTTGTACGGCAAATTGTACAACAACCCCACACATTTTACAAATCATTGTACAGACAATCATTAAGTCCTATGGTCCTCGAAAGTGTTTTAAAAGCGCTTTCTCAGCCGAACGAAGGGAAAGTTTCCCAGGTGCTGGGTAAGAATTAATTAGGAATTCCAGTAGTCCTATTACTCGTAATTTGTGTCTATATTTATATAAAATTGAATTGCTTTATACGCTTTAAACATTAAATTTATTCAATATGAAGTAGTGTCTGGTCCGGGTTAGATCTAACGGTAGTACACATGTGCTATCTTAGTATCCAGGAGTGTAGTGAATTTGTCTGGGTCTACCTAGAAGAAATAAATCTGAAAATGGCTGCCAGTAAATGTACAGTTTTCTGTAGTCGTAAGTGCACGTCCACAAATTGCGTTCAATTACTATATTATGGTCCCATTCTTGTCGTTTACTTGGTAAAATTTCTACGCGCTACAGGCTCACGATGCGAATCTGCATAAAAAAGTAACAGTTTTCAGTCGTACACTGGAAGCATTTTAAAACTGCATCACCACGTGCGCCACGAATAACGGAGCAAAACACACCCAAAGCGTTTAACCGTTTGGCGACAAATGGCTGCCTACAACACTGGCTCCGCGTAGGAATCTCTGCTTTTCCTGAACAGTTAACGAACGAATAATTAAATTTCATGCGCAAGGAATTTCTTCTTTCCTGTTCACCGTTTAACGCACCTTGGATTCGTAACTTCCGTACAGCAACGATACAGTAAACGAAAATGTTTCGTAAAAGGGTTAAAAGGAATCGCACAAAACAGTAATTTTTAACCTCTGCAAGTGTTTAGAGATTTAATGAATGTTTATTCAGGAATTTTACGAACATATATTTCGATCTCGTAACTGAAAGAAAATGGAATAAACAATGCTGTAGTACCCTTAAGGGGGTTCAAAGTTTCACCAGTTTATAATAAATAATTATTTTTAAAAATTCGATACCGATACTATTATAGTTTAAGAAAATTGCATGATTTCTTGTTTCACAACTTGCAGTGAAAAATAACACGTCCGCCCGTTTTTAACAAATTTTCGGAGGCCTCTCACGCTGGTTCCTATTACGGCTATAATAATTAATATTTTTGTACGAAATTTTTACAAGAAGTAGTTGAAGAAATGTACATTCGAAAACATTGAACATTTGTCAGCAAAAAGTTTCGTAGTTACGGCCGAAAGATTCTTGAAAATTGCCTTTATTTTCACAGTGGTGTCCTCCTTTAAATTATGCGTGCTCTTGGTTCGGAAAACGTGTCGCGTGGGATTTTTATGGAGTGCCGTTGATGTTTCGTAAAGCATGTTGGAAATGAGCGTCGAATCAATCTAATTATCCATCGTTTCGTTGGTAGACGGACCTCTGCGGCATCAAATGGAGGAAGCTCGTGTGGGGCGAAGTGGCCGGCGGTTTCGGTGGCACTCCCCTCGAGGACCCGGTGCTCTCGAGCTTCTCGCGGTGCCTCGCGGGTGACATTCTCTGCGTGTGGCGACGAGTTGCCGCTACACCGGCCACGTCCGGCCCGACAACCACCACGGGGGCCGGGGCTGGCATCTTCGACCTGGGCATCGCACCCTCGCCTGCACCGCCACCCCTATCTCTCACCGCCGCCAAGGAACTCTGGATTTTCTGGTATGGCGAGGAACCTGATCTCTCTGGTCTTGTGTCACCGGAACTCATTGCGTGCGGTGAGTAATGGAGCCTTCAATCGTCTGGATCAGTGGTACAATACTTAACCCGTGGTCCACGGACCCCAACCGGCCCCGTAAACAGATTTCAGAAGGGTCCGCGAACTTCTACACGTAGACGTTTTTAATATTTAGTTTCATTGCTTTACTGTTTTCTCTAGAAATATCAACTTTATCTTATCGATGCTTTGATATTACGATAATTGTTAGGCTCAGGTAAATCGTTCGATTGAATATCGCGAACTCGTTATTGTATCTTCTACAGAGAAATTACAAACTTTCTTAAACTGCTGACAGAAATGAAACTCTTAAAGGCTTGCTTAAAATTGAACGTGGATCCACAATCATTTCCTATATAATATAAATTCTATCGAAGATGTAGATCTAGCTAAAACATTTTATAGAATTGAAACTGAAAAAGTCTTGGAGAATTCTGTTGCTCCTCGTGAACTTCTTGTTTTGTAAAGCAACCTGTGCAAAATACTGATTTAAATAATATTTAAGAACCCCTATTCTGATAAATATTCTGGAAGGGTCCATAAACCCCATTAGACTGTCAAGAGGGGTCCGTGGAAGAAAAGGTTAAAACCACTGGTCTAGATTTGTACAATATTCTACGAATAACAGAAACAGTTTGTCCCCGATTAATTGAGAAGCAAGATCATTCCTACCACTGTTTATGCTTATTCAACACGCGCGACCCTAACAACCCACGGCCACAGGCAGGAGCGATAGGATACTCAAGCGGGAGTGAATTTCATCCACCGATGAAAACTAAGTTTTATATTTGTTCTTTTATGTGAAAAGAGTAGTTATTTAAAAACTAAAAGCAGTGAATGTTGTTCATCGTAGGAAGAATATGAGCCAAAGCATACTCCATTCAATTTATTAGGACGATATTTTACAAAGTAGGAGGTGAAACACACAATTTTTAATGCAAACAAATGTGAATAATTTAAGCATTTATTTATATTAATACATTGACTGTCGAACTTCAACAAACTATATAAATACATTTTTCTTGTATCATTTCAACATTTTCAAGTATAAATTGCTTATGTATAAATTAAACTAAGAGTCGATCTGATATCGATTTATGACGTAAATCTTACGGTGATATTACCGTGTGTTATTTGAATATTTATTCATAATTGTAAAAGTTAAATCTCTTCACAAATTGAGTCGATGAAGTATTTTAAATAGGCAATTTGAAAATGACCGTACCATATGTTTATATTTCGGTTATGCCTTAGGTGTGTTACAGTATCTACTTGCGGATTAGAAGATTTAGATGACAATACTTCAACGGTAATTAAATATATAAATATATTTAAAAACAACTTGTTTAATCCTGTCTAAAAAATGGTATTTTAAAATTACTTTATTCGTGTCAACACGACGATGATTGTATCAATATTTTGCAGATTTAAATTTTACAAAACATCGTAAACGAACAAAAGTAACGCTAAGTGGAATAAAATAATACCGAAGAAGAATTACCTCCGATGTCGTACTTAAGGTCATCAACTTTTTTCCACGCAACACCATGTGCTTTTGATCACGTGGCACTATACATAACTAGCACGAAGACAAGTTTAACAACCTTATAATATCATAATCTTGAAGTGTTCTTGCTAATGAAAAATTAGCGATGAATCATTTCTCGATTCTTAATTACAATTAGCACACACTGTGTTCGTCTTTCGTTTATACGGGGTGGTATTAAAAAGAAACCGGACTCTCTTCACAGAATCTTTATTAATCAATTATTTGAAATTTGACTTCTGTCACAATGAGTTTTAATTTCATTAAAAATAATAATAATTCAATAGTGTACCTATCATTCTATAGAATTTCTAACAACATTGTATATAATATTACAAGTATTAGAGTTTTTTCATTGTAAATTTGAAGTGTCGATCACCAATGGTTACATATCATGACCTTCAACGTGTTAAGGAAATAACAACCGTTGTTTTGTAAACAGGAAAAATTTCATTTTCCTGTACGATAACGTGTAACCACATATTTTGTGATTATTATTTAAAAAAATAACTGAATGAATTAAAATACGAAGATTTATCTGAATTACCATGAACAATATTTTTCAGATCTAATTCCCCACCGATTACCACGTTTTCTACCAGCTTTTTAAAAGATAAAACGTGTCTAAATCGAGAGCTAGTTTACAACCTGATAAAACCGGAGGCAGCAATCATTTGTTGAGAGTATCGGGCAATAAGTAAACAAATATATTAGATAGGATAAAAAGTTGAAAGTTACTGAAATTCAAGTAATACGTGTGTTTAGTCTAAATGATGCTTGAAATGTTCTTCGTTAGAATCAGTGCAACCGTGTAATCATCTGATAAGCGAAAGAGAAACGCGCTGAGAGGCTTTCCGGAGTTACGGCAATACGCTGTAACGATACGTTCTAATATGGCGTATTAATACGAAAATGATATTTAATCCAGTCGAATTAGATACGAAAATACCTAAAATAATATATTTTAAGGCCCCATAAGTTTCTGCAGGTTTCAATGAACAGAAAATCTCGTTTCTTTGTTCGTTCACCTTCGATTAGATCAGTGATTTCCAAACTTTTCGGAAGACGACCAGCTCCGTATGAAAACCAAGTTCACTTTAATTAATTCAAAGTTATATTGCCTTGTATTTTAAAGATACTACCCATACATTTGTGTACGTTTAGTTTTTAAGTTATTTTAAATACTGTAGCATGATTGTGAGTGACCACTACAATTACGAATAAATATTCATAATAAAATATTTCAATGATATAATATGGGATAATCCTCATTAGAAAAAGTTAATCCTGAAAAGCCTAGACTGATACAAGAAGAAAAATCATACCCTTGGTAAACGACGATAATCAATGTATTAACCATCACTTTTAACTCACATTTACAAGCACGTTAGACGCGAGAGAATTAATTTTAGCAGATTCTTGTCGTTACATTAAAATACACGTTTTTATGAAGTATGAATTTACCGTTTATCCATAAAATTATAACATTTCCTTACAAAAAATATTCAATTTTTTAATTAAAAATGATCGTGTTGCAATTCACTTTGATTCTCATAACTTGGAGACATTACTTGCTTAGAATTGAAGCTCTAAAAATCATTTCTTTAAGTTATCCATATTTTTTTACGTAAAACATTTTTCTATAGTATCGTTCTCGAATTATGACGCGTCCCTTCTCTAAGGGTAGCGTCGCCTACTTTGGAAAGTACTAGATTGGACGTTAGATCGACTTAAATGCTGCAAGTCGCAATTTCGAAGTATGTTATCGTAGGAAATCCCGTGTGGTCTTGTTTCGAAGAAAGAAGGTATGCAAAGTGAACGAAGCGGTAACGTTGCCGAGACCGTGTTTCTCTCTGCACGGGGTCGCTGAACCATGTACATACTTGTCTGCAACTCGGTGCAATACAACGCAGAGATCCATTATTGTGCATCGCAAGGAGTATACCAATTACGGAACCAACCGGTAAACCGTTAGCCCTAGACGATCTAAGACTTTGAACACTGTAAATCAAAAGGAAATCGAAAAGAGACGATATTAGTGATATTATGAGTACTTCGATAAACGTAGGATACATCTCTGTTTATCTTCCTTAAAACGAACGCTCTCAAGCTCTGGTGAACTTCGCTAGTGGAATTGTTGAAATATGTTCGAAACAGTGAAAACAGTTATAAAAGAACGGTCTTTTTGTGAGGGGATATATTTACTATATGAACCACTATCACGCTATTTTGTCATGTCATTGTTAAACGAGATGTTCATTACAAAGAATTTATTTCTAAATAACCGTCATTCGTGTCTAGTATTATACTGCGATAGATTAATATAAGAAATGATTATTTTTATCACTTTTGGGAAGGAAAATATATTTGATGCAGTAGGGGTCAATGTATAAAATTTCATATTGGATGACAACTAAGTAAATATTTGTTAAACAATTCTAAGTCTGTCAACACAAATCCAAAAACATTAGTTTTCTGGGCTGAACGCGTTACTTTCACAGTAGAATCGACCGCTTCGTTCAACCAGTGAGAATGGACATTACCTCGATTCGACGAAGAAAGTAGATCACGGGAAAAGTAACAGAAAATCTGCATATTTCTAAAGTAGAATGTGTATTATGCTTCCGCTGGCCGTGAGAAAAAGTCTACAAATGATTTGAATTACATGTCTATTATTTACGCAACGATATGCAAAATGTTGAATTAATTGAACACTCAATGGTGTTGCATGCATTCGAATATTTGCTCAATTCATCTTTCTTATATCCAAATTTCCGACTTGAGTGTTTAAGATACGATCGCAGCGAGATTTTCATTTTTGCTATTACACTTACAAACCACGTCCTTCCTTTTTCAAACCTTGTATAATTTGTCTCATTTTACTTTATAAAAATCCATTTACAAAATGATGATAATAATTTTAAATATCTACCATACGGTTTGCTTACATACATTTAAACGTTTTTCTTGCTATAGGACTAACAACAAAGCAAGAAAATTGAGAATATATTGGGAAAAATCAGGAATTAGAATACCAGAATTCAGTAATCACTACACAACTCACAAATTTGTTTACAAAATTATAAACAATGATTTCAAAATATACGTAAGGAACGTAACAGAGGGCTTCATACAATATAATCAGATGTGGTGACTACGATGTTTACATCCTAAGTTCATGTTGAAAATTGATACATTCATATTCACTTGAACGCGAAAGTATGTGAATGAATTTATGAGTCGCTGTCTGTAGTATATGTGCTGAAAAATGATTCGAATTAAACTGAAAACGTTAAAATTACAAACAGCTTCTCAGTTTACACACAACAATTTCTCCCAATAGTCAACGAATTAAACATTATAGTATACACGAAAGTTCGATTCGTAATGTGGATATTTGTCTTGATTCCAGAAAGCGAACAGGGTTCATGGGAAAGCGGATTGTCGTACGAGTGTCGGTCACTTCTTTTCAAAGCTCTGCATAACTTGATCGAACGATGTTTACTGTCTCGTGATTTTGTTCGGCTAGGAAAGTGGTTCGTACAGCCCTATGATGGGTTCGAGAAACACCGTTGCAGTAGGTAAGTTCTTGCATTAGTTTTCACTGATTTCTGTTATCAGAGTGGAAGAAGCAATCTGTAAGTGTCAATGAAACGATCGAATTATAAATCCCTTGTATTTTAATGTAAGCAAATTTATTGCCATTTGCAGTAGTCACTTGTCGTTCTCGTTCGCATTCTTTGTTCATGGAGAGAGCACTGTATGTGCAAGTGTGGATGTTAGGCAACACCCTGCTGTTCGTCATCTTACAAGGGCTTGTTTACAACGTACTCAAACCTCCCAATCTAGTGTTAAAGGTAACTAACATCTGTGGTGCAGAAACAGTGAAAGTTGCTACAATATATAACCAATTATTTCACAAATTTGATAATTACTTGTATTTGTTGTTCCAGTGATTTTAGCTCCTCATGGACTAGCAGGCACATTAACTGGCCCAGTGGGGCGTACAGATAGCCAACTTCTTGAAGAATGGAAACACTTTTATCCAATCAACGGCAGTAATGTCGAAGCAGGACTTCCACCGCTGGTGGAAGTGCTTGTCGGTGGTGTACGCATGCGATATCCTTCTTGTTATGTCCTGGTCACGGATATGGACGACACTCCACCCGAGACTCCTCTTTCTCCGCCGAGTAGCCCTGCTAGTTGCGAACATCCTCTTCTAGGTCAGCAGGAACTACGAGCAGCTACGGAATTACCAGAACGTGCGTGGGCAGAATGTACTTTGAGTTCACCAATATCTGCTTCCAAGACAGAATCTTCCACTGAACATGGAACTTGGATCTTCATTGATCCAACGCAAAAGTCTTCCTGTACCTGTTCAAAGTAAGTAATGCTTGCAAATGATTTCTGTCAATGAATTTAACTTTTACTGCATTGAATACTAAATTTTATTTATACAATGAACTAATTCATGAAGTTTTTTTAACTTGTAACGTGAAAAGTAATTTCATGTATTTTAAGACACATTTTTTGTCGGGGACAATGTTTTTGGTTGCCCTGTCCTTTAAAAAAAGGCAAGAACTTCGTAACGTAAATGAAAATTAAAAAACAATGCAGTAATAGTAATAATAATAGCACTGTCAAATTTATCGAATATTATTTTAATATTACGTAAAGTATGTGTATTAATTTATTATTAAATTTTGAAGTATTTTTTCTATATATTTATTAAATGTAGCAGTAAACATTTCTTTCTTTCAACTACATTCTATGTTTATCTGACAACGTTTAAGATAGCAGTATTCACAATTATTATTGATTCTCTCTGCATGTTATAACACAATTCATAAAGTGTAGGTTGAAAATATTACAGTATAAATAGCGATTTTTTAATGGCTGCTGCAACACGTGCATGTAAATTTAGTTTTTGAGGATGTCTCGAATGCAATTGTTTCTTTAAAATTAGTTCTTTTATTTGTGCAACAGAATTTTCCTGTATTAGAAACTTTTGTCAAGAGTAGTGTGAATGTCATATTTATTTTGGACAGTATATTGCAAGTCCACGGTGTAATAAAGGTTTAACAAAGACATGAAATGTTATTACAAAGAAAAAAATGTGGCTCTAAAGCTACTAAGCAGATTTTATATAACTTGTTTACGTTCTGTTTAAATTATTTTCAATTGAAAACATTCCCCGGGGTAAAAAATTGCATACATCTTGAAATAATACTAATAACAACGCGTTATTGAAAGATGTATGCGCGCCAGAGGTGAGGATTGTAAATTAAATTTTATAGCAAGTATATATTTCGTTTATAATAATGAATTACAATAATTTTTGCTCCAGACCTCAGTAAGTCGAAATAGTTAAAATAAGTAGAAATAAGAGAAAACGAGATGTTAAATACATCGGTTGCAGGTATGCGACCCCCGGGGGTTGGAAGAGCCTGGCCTCCTCTCAGGTTCAGAGGGAAAGAGTAGATAAAGGTGGACGGAGGGTCGTACCGTTTCATCGACGCTCTACCACCCAGTGGGATGCTTGTCCCTCTGTCCCTGCTAATGCCCCCAGGTGGGTAATTTCTGCTCCGATACCAACGAGAAAACCATTTTATCACATCTTAATTAATCACCGCAATAATGCCAATTTCGTATGAATGTTATAATGCCATAACGTCACCTTTTAATTCACATTGCTTTTGAAAGCCCCGCTATTTATCTAGTCATATGCGTAACCAAAACTAATGCACGAATAATGCATTAATCAAATATCATTGTGCAGTCATTTCTTTCTTCCCCTAGTGATGGGAGGGGTTTTTTAATTTTGAACGAGGTATGAATATTATTCTTGGTATATTGTATATATATAAAAAAAATAGTAAGAACATACAATGATACTTTGCTTTAATAGAAAACAACAGATGATTTACTCTCAATATAGATTCTACTATTTTGTTGCTGTTAGAAAGAAACAGCTGGTAAACGTATTTTATACGTACTACTATCAATGAAATCTATCACATACGCGTACTTATTGATACAAACTATAATAAGTATAGTATATTCGTGTAATTCATACATTAGTATGCATTATATGATGTTATCAGTATTTCATACTTTAAGATATTACAAAATTCACACATTTTAATGTAAACGCATTGCGAACTCGAATAAAATTAATTGATTTCTTTATTTCTATTTTCATATACTACTGTGCAATTAATAAAAATCACAGAAAATATTTTTGTTGTGAGAATACGATATAGAGACACATTTTTATAGTATTCACAGTCAAAACATAGTTTCCTACTTCTTAATACCTTATTCTCGCAAAAAAATACTTTGCATGCATCGTCAAACATTGTTGTTTGTAGTCTCAGCATGACTTTGTAGCTTCATTCCTTCCATTTACTCAATGTTAATGTTACATATTTCATTTGGATGTATTATGTTCTACATACTACTTCGTACATTATCTACAGTCTCTAAAAAGCTTTTCTTTAATTTCTACAACATTATGACAAGCGAAAAGAAATTTAAAAAAACATATTGTATAATAATTCTTGAACTAGTGCAATGATTGTAGATAATTGTATCACAACATGCTCTTCATACAATGCACATGGCGGTAGCTATTCTTACATTATTTTTTATATAGCATGAATCAGCTTGTCAACATCAATTATTTTCATCAAGTTTAAGTTGTTAGAGGCGATCATAACGTTTCAATTAAACAGTAATCCCAATAACTATGTCTTTAACTTGAACAGGTCTGTATTGAACAGAACAGAGGCGCCAAGTACACCACCAGGTGGACCACCCTCTTATTCAAGAGGACCACCGACAGGAGGAGATTGTCTGCCAGTTCCATCTGTTGGCTCGCCAGGCTCTCCTGCACCTTCACCTCTTCCAACTCCACATTCCGAGCCAGCGTCGGTTCCACCAGCAGAGCCTACAATGCCTACTCTTAGTCCTCAACCGCCACCCAGTCATACAAACACTGCCCCACCATTAACCCCTTCTCAAGGCCCAAAGTCAACCTCCTCTGCATGCAATAATCAAGTGCATAGTCCAGCTCCTGGGCCAACATTAAAACGACCAGTCTTAGTCTCCAGAGAATGTGAGGATATATATTTAGAAAATGAACAGTCATTACCTTGGCTCTATGATTACTCAACACAAGAAGCATGGCTCAATCATCCTGTGAAACGTTTTAAGGAATCTAATAGTAGTCCAGTCAATGTGCGGAGCAATACTTTGTATCCACCAATGAATTCCCAGGTTCCTCAATCTCAAGCTCCAAAATTAGAAATTAAGCAGGAACCAAATGTCAATGTTGTAAGTCATATTTTTGGTTATTGTAGAATATCATTTTATATTTTTATACACATCAATTTTATCGATGCTCTGCAGGGAGATTGCATCGGAAGAAGAACAGATCCTTACGAGTTTGATGCGACAGGTGATGAAAACGGAACAGGTGTTGATGGACTTAGACGACAAAGAGACGATCCTTCTAAACCAGGGTCTTTGTTCACCAGCGAAGGTCTTCAAGCATCCTATAAAGATTTAGACCAAATCTTCGATAATTCCGATCCCGACACCTCTAGCGATGAAACCGTACGTAGTATCTTTATAGTTTGTTTTTGCTTTTGTGTTAACATAATTAAAGATGAGTGACTTCTTGCAGAATTTGAATCAGCTTCAAGTACAAACTCCACCAGAATCAAATAGATCCAGTGGACTGCACGAAGAAACTAGAGTAGATACCAACAACAGACATAATAATCGAGGAGTAGGCGTATTGCGACCAGAAGAACTTTCCAAAATGTTTCCAACGCCACCATCCTTAGAACATAATCCAGTCGCTTCGCCTTGTCAGTTAAACGACCCTTTAATGGACCAGACAGAACTTTCTGTGCCCCAGCGACCACTTAGGCATCTCCCTGATATCTATCCAAATATGGGATCCCCTCAAGAAGAACCAATCGACGATTGGTCCTACGTGTTCAAGCCCACGTCCATCTGCAAGATGGTTGGTTCTTCCAAATATGCTCCTCTCACGAATCTGCCCAGTCAATCTTTACCACCCGTTACACTGCCATCACACTGCGTATACAGACCTTCCTGGCAGTGTAACCCTGCTCCTAGCAATTCAGAAAAACCGCTTCCACCGACTAGACCTGGTTCTGTTCAACAACAACCGTGCCCACCAAGCCCAGCACCGTTGGGAGCACCCTATCGCTCAGCGACCATTTCCGGTAGACCACCGCCGCCTCCGTACGATCAACCGAGCCCAGCTACATCTACCACTTCTTCGTATCTGAACAAAAACTTGAATAGTATTGAAGCGGACACACCGGGACCTACTCGCGCACCAGAATCGAACTCTCTCATAGTGAATATTCTCTTAGGCGACACCGCGTTGAACATCTTCCGCGATCATAATTTCGACAGTTGCAGTCTATGCGTGTGCAATGCAGGCCCGAAAGTGGTTGGTAATATAAAAGGCGCGGATGCTGGTGTTTATCTGGCACACTCGTGGTCGGGTGGAGCTCTCTTTCAAGATGACGATCAAATCAGATGCAGTTGTGGCTTCAGTGCAGTTGTAAACCGACGACTGGCTCATCGGGCCGGATTATTCTACGAAGATGAAATGGAAATTACCGGTATCGCGGAAGATCCAACGGAGAAGAAAAAGACATCTTTGGTTGCTATCGCGTGCGGAGGGGCTAAACCATCCGAAGGTTTAGACGCGATACCACCTAACGTGTTAGAGTTGCTGAGAGAACAGTGTCTGATCATACAGAGCTCCGCCAGCAGCCTCTATAGGGCGTCCAGAATCTACGCTGCGATGAAAAGTTACTCGATGCTCACGCCTACGGTGAATATGTTGGAGTTTAACGATGGAAACGAAGTGTCACTGGCTGCTCTTGATCAGGGTAAAATCGATGGTACACATAACGAAAGGACTAACCGTGTGAATGGCGTACATCGATGGGTGTTTCTCCGAGCGAAAGGTCCCCAGTGCAGCGGTGATATTGTACGAATGATGAGAGCGCTACAACCATTGTTGGAGGATGCAGTGCAGAAAAAGTGCACTACTCGAATGTGGGAGGCGCCGTACACCGTCGCTGGTCCTCTTACTTGGAGGCAATTCCATCGTTTAGCCGGTCGTGGGACTGACGATCGTTGTGAACCTCAGCCAATACCAGCTTTAGTAGTCGGATACGATCGGGACTGGTTGTCTTTATCGCCGTATGCTCTAAGCTACTGGGAGAAATTGCTTTTAGAACCGTATGCTGGACCTAGGGATGTCGCTTATGTGGTAGTAGCACCCGACAGTGACTGCGTTATCGATAAAGTCAAATCATTTTTCCGTGAACTATCGACTACGTATGAAGTAAGTAAAGTATTCTGTTCAAACGTATATCTTTCTCGTTTCGGGATACAAAATTGTAGTTCTTCTGCAGATCTGTCGGTTAGGAAGGCATACCCCGATCTCGAAGGCCCTGCGCGACGGCATTCTTCGAGTTGGGAAATCGTCTGTACAAAATAAAGTTAAACAACCAATTGATGATTGGTTCAAACTTTTAGGAGAAAACCAATTAGGAGAACTATTACGGTTATACGCTCAAGTCTGTAATCACCGATTAGCCCCATATTTAACGCAGGTTATACAAGATCGAAGTTTGTTAGATCCTGGAGATACACAATTAACCAATAAGCAACAGCAACAGCAACAATCGACTATTCCTGTTACCGATACGATGCCAGCCACGCCTGACGTAATGACAAGCAAACCTGAGTCTGTTGGTACGTTTAAATATTTGAATACTTCATTTCACTTCTTTTTTTACCGATTTTACCGATTTTGGTATTATAAAAAATGATGATTATCCTAATACCAATTACCTATATTTACCTATTATTATTCTCAAATTTATAAACACGTAATGAACAAATTTTTGTGTTTAAAGAGGTATCAAAATTCACAAGACATTATTAATTCGTAATAGGCATCCAAAGGAACATTTGACAAACATTTCTTTTACACATTAATTTGAATGTAATGAACAATTTTGTAAACAAACAATGTAGTTCTACACATGCAGTTTATACATTTTCAGAAGGAGAGAATCCTAGAAGTGAAACTCCATCGAACACAGCGACAAATTCTAATTCTAACACTGGTAACACGACACCGACTTCTCAAACTGCCACGATACCCACAAACACCACTGCGGGTCCAGATGAAGAGGAAGCCGAACCTCCGGCTGTGGTCGTTTATCTGATAGAACCTTTCTCGCTGGGAAGCCCTGAAGATCCTGATCGTCGAAGACTTGCAATTTTAGCTTTATTGCGTGCTTACTCAGCAGCAGTTAATAGCATGCCTGAAAATGTCAGATCCAATATCAACGTTCAGGTAAAATTTTATTATTTACAATTTTTTATTTAGTTGTCACGATATAGCGGGGTCGTAAATGTCTTTAAATATCAAAACAAATACGTTTCGACTGCCGAGACAAATTAAGTAACTCGGGCTATGGTCGGTTCTTAGCTCCAGCCAATTTAATTTGAAAACGAAAGTAAGGTACTTGGTGTTTTAAATACGTGCATCTATTTAATATTGTAATAATCAAGAAGTAATAGTAAGAATGTAGTCAACTAATCATTTGACTACAGTGCATTTGAAAGCGTTCGCGATGTACATCAATCATAAGTTATTATGCGCACCTTAAAACGCTTTGTTAAGTGCAAAAATATATCGTTTCATTCAGAAAAACCTAAAATTATGTCTTTCTTGAAACCAAGTAAGATTTGTTTCTCGGTTGGCCTTTCTTAAACATCTCGTCCTGTATAAGCTTTTCGAGAATGATTGTGCACTGTGAGAAATTACACAAATTAGTCTCAATAATGGCTAGATTGTGTAAAACACTAATTAAAAAAAAGGTAATTATTTTAACAAGCAGAAAGTTTAGTAATGTATAACATAATTTCCAAATATTATGGCTTTTTTTATTGTCTAATAATTTTCTATACCTATGTGCGTAAAAAAAGTGAAAAATAAAACATTTTTATTATATGACCACGAAAATCGACAGTATTCTCTAAAACAGTAGATGTTCAACGTTTGTCCGGTACTGCACATCTCTCGTAAATGGCTATTTATTTTTAGTAGGCATATGTGCAAGGTGTGGCCCATCGATCGTAGTACAACTGGGAAGATTGTAATTCTTCATGCAAAAACAAATCAAAAATTTTAAATAACATTTTTAGGTATGATTTTCCATTATCAAAAAAAAAAGGAAATCTGTCGAATATGCATCTACTTAACTAACTATAGATCTCGATGTAATGGATTTTAGTACAGGCAGTATTTTATTCAGATGGATTCACGAACAAAACTAATAGTTAACTTCTAAAATTAATTTTATTAAACAAATTGTCTAAAATATGACCATGTGATTTACAATTATAGTAATCGTCCACACGAACTAGTCTGTCTATATCGCTGTCTCTTTTGTTTCGAAAGCGAAACGCAGAGAAGTGAAAGAGGTTTTTTTGTTTATTTTTACCTGTAGAATTATCCTATAAAATAGTAGGTGGTAAACACCTTTTAAATACACTTGTAATAGATAAAGGGTTAATACTCAACTTTCTCTACACTATAATCACGTTGATGCCGCTAAACTAGGTCTAGCCAACTAAGTTTCTCGCGGTTACGGGTTATGTTCGCAGACAGAAAATTCGAGCACTACTTCAGGTAAATAGTGAGGATTAATTGCAGTAGTGAAGACGTTGCACGCTTCGAAAGTCAGTATAAGTATCTGATTTCAGTTAATGGTCGCGGTATGTTCTCATACATGATTTATATTTATAGAAGCATCTCATTACGAGATTATTGTCCTATAGAACCATGGTCGTGTGCCCCAAAAAAAGTTATCTGTTTAGTCACGCTGGAAGCTGGTTGTATGGGCAACGAGTTGGCTAGGCCTGCTGTAAAGTGAACTCATTTTCTAATGGTACGTTTTTTCCCACAGTTAATATCATTGGAAAGTATAATGGAGTTAGGACGAGCTAGAGAAAGGCGAAGGATTCAGGACGAAATGAGAGCCTTAGCGTTGAACGTGTTTCTACAGGGCCGCCGATTGTTAAATCACAACTCCACGGTAAAAAGTCTCACTGGCTTTGGTACTGCTGCCGCTGCAGATCTTTTTCTTAAGAGTAAAGATGTAAGGCTCTATTTTTTTTATTCCTCCAGTTTAATAGGGCTCTTTAAATTAAATCGACCGTGTTTCGTGACGTCTGATACGGTGAAAGTAGCGAGTAATAAACAGGTTGTAAAATAATCGTTTCCAAGCCTTATAATAATACTGTTCCAACTTATACATCAGGAACGGAACAAAGCCCCGTACCGGTTATACGCACCGGCTTACGTCCTGGCTCCTCTACGAGCGAAAAGCGAAGCACCTGAATCCTTTGGTATTGCTGGACCAGAGGAATGCGCAGTTCTGTATCTGAGCTATTGCCTCAGCGAGGATCAATCCTGGCTGCTCGCAGTCGCGACTGATGACAGGGGCGAGATATTCGAGACGGCTACCATTAACATCGATATACCCAACAGAAAGAGAAGAAAACGCGCCTCAGCTAGACGAATCGGATTACAAAAATTGATGGATTTCATACTTAGCGTGATGTCTCAGGGTGTAAGTATCACCATTCATTTTTTACAACATAGAGCACAAAGAAATGCTCTCTGCAGCATGCTTATCGTCAATATTTAATCAATTTAAAAAGAGTAATTTTACATAAAAAAAAAGGTAATCTCAAAAGTTCCGAAACGTTACTAGATTCAAGACTAGAATGAATCATGTTGATGATTTATAATAAAAAGGCATTTCTCCGTGCATAGGTACAACCTTGGAGATTAGTCGTAGGTCGTGTGGGACGCATTGGGCATGGCGAACTAAAAGGATGGAGCTGGTTACTATCTAGGAAAGCACTTCTAAAAGCCTCAAAACATCTGAAAGAATTATGCGGCCAGTGTAGCCTTCTGTATCCATCGGCAGCACCTTGCGTACTCAGCGCCTGTTTAGTTTCGCTTGAACCAGATTCAACTCTCAGACTGATGGCTGACCAGTTTACACCCGATGAGAGATTCAGTCAGGCATCAGTAAACTGCCAATTATCTACACCACAGGATGTCACGTGCACTCACATTCTCGTCTTTCCCACATCTGCTACCACTCAGGTAAATTTGTACGAACCCGATCTTGAAGTAGGTCATGTGGGGTCCATCGTTTCCCGTACTCGCCGCCAGAGGGACCGTTCCTCTCGCAAGCACTCGACCGACCTTCCGTCTATAGATATACGATCTTCGACCAACTTCCAATATCCAGACCCGGGACAAAACGCTCTCCCTATTCTTTTCTTACCATCTAATCCCCAAGGACCCCCAAAGACATAATAAAACGATTATTATTCAAAGTGATACTAGGAGAAATGATTCCTAATAAACGTAAAAATAAAACATAAAAACGATTAATTTTTTGCTACAGTCATCACAGACAGCATTTCAAGAGCAACATATTAATGGACCAGAACTAGGGGATGATGAACTATTTTCTGCTCTAAATGATGACATGCCAGAAGGTATGGAAGGTATGGGAGACTTCAACGATATTTTTAACGTATGGCCAGAGGCTGGGGCTGGTGGAGGACAAAGTCCTGGTGGCAGTCCACACCGTCCTGAGGGATCCCCACTGGGTGGAGATGGTGGTGGCTCGGGTTTAGGCAATCACGATGGTCCTGGTAGTCCATTTCCATGTAGCAACACTCCAAGAGTAAGTTAAAATTACTTAGTGGGAAATATAAGATCACATATCATTTAAAAGTTACATGTTAAATTAGTTTGCGTGCCGTGATTATGCATTTTATAAAATACATTATAAAAACATCATTATCTAAATCTAAAAGTGAAAAAATATTATTTTGTAGTTTGCCAACTACAAATATTACAAGAACTGATCTAGCACGTAATTTATTATTAACACATGAGAACATTGGAAAAGAAATAATTGAAATGAGAATTCTGAAATCACATGATGTATATTATGTGTTAATCATAATAATTGTAACATTTGACGCAAAAATAAACTTGATTCTGAAATTATTAATTAATAGGTAACGGTTGCTGAACAGATAGAAGAAGTTGGAACACTATTGCAGCAACCACTTGCACTCGGTTATTTAGTATCTACTGCACCGACAGGACGCATGCCACCGTGGTTTTGGTCAGCTTGCCCCCATCTTGAAGGCGTTTGCCCAGTGTTCTTGAAGAATGCCTTACATTTGCATAGTCCAGCAATACAGCAGAATAGTGACGATCTATTACAACAACAAAGTGCACTAACTGCTCATCCACTAGACTCACAATATACCACCGATGTGCTCAGGTTTATATTACTGTTTTATTTGATTTAAAATAATTTGTTTCGTAATTATTGCTACAATCTCTAATTTATCTTCAAAAACTTCAAACTTACCAAATTGAAATCATTGGAACGTTTACGTTGTATTTATTGATAAATTACTGTTTTTTGTTTATAAATATTTATAGTACTTTTAATCATATTTTTGCAATTTGTTTGAAATAACTTAATTTGTTTAGTAGTAGCTTCTTAGCTATAACTTAAATAAAACAAAAAGTACTTCAAATAAGTTTTAAATTTGCATTTTAAATACTGTTACGCTGTTTCCGTTCATAAGAATATTAATACTCGGAACACAAAATAGTAAAAATAGTACACTTACAAGTTGATTATGATCTTCTTATTGAAATATAAGTATTTCAAACTTAAATTAAAAATTTAATGTTTTAAAAGGTTTTAATCAGCATCATATTAATTTAACGTTTTCAGTTCTTAATTAAAAACCATTTTCAGAAATTAACAAAATTATTTGATCTATAAATTGTAGCAAAAAACAATCCTTGAGCGTAAGAGGCATAGAAATTGTATTTTTCTATTAAAATACATATATATATTTTTTTGCTGCATTTTATAGATAAAATAATTTTGTTTTTATTTCTGAAAATGTATTCAAACTAGAAAGTGAAAGCGTTCAAATAATAGGAAGCTTGTTGAGAGTTCTGAAAACGTGTATTTTATTTCAAATGCAAGCATATTGCATACTTTAAATATTAAATTTTAAATGTCACTAAAATTCGTTTACCGATAACATAATTTACTAATTGCGTTCTATAATTTTCAGATATGTGCTGGAGGGATACAATGCATTATCATGGCTTGCAGTGGATGCGAACACGAAGGATCGGTTATCCTGTTTGCCAGTTCACGTACAAGCGCTCATGCAGCTCTACCATGCAGCAGCAGCTCTCGTCTGACCCACACCCTCTCCCTTCGTAGTGCAGTATATGCACCTCTCTCACGCACTCCTTAACCGTACCATCACTTGGGGCTTTACGAGAGCAACTGGTTTCCTACATCCGTCTTCAACTGTACGTTAGTGACTCTGAGATTTTCCGGATAACTGGGAGAGAACGAACCTTCGTCCAATCGTCGATGATCCCTTGACTCGAAACATCGAGATCATTTTTTTGCTCGGTCTTTTTTTAATTTTTTTTTTTTTTTTTTTTTTTTCTTTATTTTTTTCTATTGATACGATACAGTAAGACAAGTCACGCCGCGACGATAGCATAGACTCGATAATTATCGAAGCACAGTAATTAAAGTTTTTCTATTCGTGTAATTCGATCGGCGAAGAAAACAAAAAAATAAGCAAATTGTGCTTTGTGTTTTATCAGTAATCGCGACGAAAAAAAAGACAACACGAAAAAAACTACTAATTAACGATCATGCATTGCCGCATACCAAATGGAGTCTGATGTATGAAAGTTGGAATTGCATGCGATATTATGAATAAAAGAGATTGAAAGAACGAATGAAAACGCGAAAGAATGACAGAGAAAAATGAAGAGAGGATGAGAGAGTGAGGAAAAGAAAGAGTGTGTATAAACGGAAGAGAAGGGGACACAAAAGAGAGTGCGTTAAAAGAAGCTAACTTTCAATTGCCTCTCTGTCGATAGATAGTTCAATTACAAATCAGAATCTCTAGAAAATTACGAACCAAAACGTTTTTAATTGTAAATTGAATTTTGTACAAAGCTTTCATTATTAATAACGACGAAGTAATATAAATGATATTACGTTGTTTTTTAATTTTATATAGATGATATAAATGAAAAAAAGAGAACGGAAAGGGAGGCGACACTTCTTTTTTACAAGTATAATGCCTCGTACAAGCCCCTGGTGTGAGATAAGTATGACAATTACATAATATTATATTATATTATGCTCGCGCGGCACTGGGTCACTGTTATCATGTTTCCTGGACCCGTTAGCGCAATTTTTCGATGCTGTTTGACAAATTTTATTCAAATTAGGTGACCTCTATATATTATACATACATTAATAGTGTAAAATATTGTTTTTAAATAATTTATGAAGTGAGAGACATCGCAGAGATATTAGATAATTTAGAATGAACGGAGGGAGCGAGAGAGTAAAAGAGAATGAGAGAAGAGCACAGTGAGGTTTGTTCCCTGCAACTTAGAAAAAATGATTTAACATACAAACAAATGAGCAAGCGAATGAAAAAAAAAAATATATAAGGAACAAATAAAAAGACAAGAGAAGAGAATACAGGGCGCGTCTGAATGAAAGCCAATGATGGCTAGTGGGCGTCAGTCGCATAGTACAAATATGACTTGTACATAGCAACCCTTAATCCTCTCCCCCTTATAAAGTTAATTGGTTAATTTACTCACACACCACACTCACACTGTATCTATAGTATTTATTATCTGGGTAGAAAATCATTATTGGGATTATTATTATTAATTATTATTATTACCATTATTATATTAATATTACGAAATACAGTTTTATGTGTATATATAATTATATACCTCATTTCGCACGTAACTCGTGTCTTACAGTTTTAATGTTGCAAGCATAATGGAAACACTGCAAAGTTTTCATATTTCCACGAAATTTTTCTCACTGCTGCTACCGTTTAAAAATCTTATAGGAAAAATGCATTTTCGTTATACGAAGATTAATGAATATAAATTACTGCAAAACTTTTATATTGTAGATCAACTGATTAGTTAATAATTTTTGTTTCCTTGTTTCTTATAAGATCTACTATTTTTAAGAAAAATTCAAGAATTTTTAAATAAAATAAACAAATATGTTTTTCTGAAAGATAAATCTTTGGAAAATGCATTTCTTTAACTGCTTTTTTCAATTCCGAGAATATAACATACTCTAAAAAAGTATTTGATTATCATTGATTGAATAATAATTAATTTAGTATATACTTAATACATACTGCTACTATTCCTTGTTCTGTAAGTTCAACGATCATCAGAACTTGATGATACAAAAGATAAAATTATTCACAGCATTTCTGATATGCTTGTAACATTTATATGTAGCATACACCCCATCTTACTCTTATAATTAACCTCATTAGTATACAGAATATTTCGAATATTACATATATATAACGAAATACTCTGTATATAACACATTTTATCTTTCGGTGAACAAATTTAACGTTTAATTCGTTGGCCTGAATAGACTAGCATTGTATAATGAAAGCAAAAAAAAAGAATGTAAAAAATGATTGTTGGTGCTTATAGATAGTGATGGGCTTAAGAGGAATGCAATGAAAGTTTGAAGTAACTCTTTAAATGTTATTGAAAATAGTAGTTGGAAACCAGAGATGGACAAAATTCTTATCTGACTAAAAATGAATAAAAGGCAAGCATTTCACTCGTTACTGGTCGAATAAAATTTCAGGTTAAACGAACACAATACTTCTCTAACTTGACCGTTCGATAGATCGATATAATCGAATAAAATTCTGTCCACCTCTGTTGAAAACTTTTCGAATCTTAAATAGTACTATGGTATTTATAATTTTCGAAAATTCTCAAAGGTTACAAAAGATTAAGCAATTACGTAATGGCTACAACTTTTAACTCGTATAGAAAATAATTTTAATACAATCTGGTATACTAATACTCTTGTGTATTTCTATCACCTTCGACATTCTCAGAGAATTTCGAAACTTTCAAGTACTTTAAATTCATTAACACTATAAATGTTTCAAAATTTTCAAATATGTTTCACTTTTAATAACGTCTTAAGTTCCGAAATTTGCAAAATGGAAACTGCCCATCACTGCTTAAAGTGTCCCAGTTAAAATAGTTTAAAGACTAGTATTCAATCGATACGGTAGTCGACTGATCCACAGTAAGTTTCTCCACGGCGTGCGTGATGCCGTATGGCCTTAAGTGATAAATTAAGTACTCAAGGACGTACATCATATTAGGCGACACGTAATGAAACGATATCGCACTATCGGAACAACAATTGAGGCCATCTTTGGTATTGTAATAAATGTACTTCCAGTACCAGAAATCCTTATCCACGTGATTGGGTATTAAATGGTGCTCTGGCACAAAAGGAAAAAATCTTCCGCGGCCATGTGGATCTCGAGTGTCCATCGCTTTGACGCCGACTTTCTCCAAACATTTTCCCATTTCCACATCCTCTGCACCTCCATTGTCCGAACGACACTTAGTTTTGTCGTGCAAACCATCCGCCACAAATTTTTTCAAGGCCTCCTTGCTAAGTACATATCCTGCCCCACCACTCATGTATCCTTGCTTCACAAACGGTTTGAACCTGCAGCCGAAGTACAGTGGCGAACTTGGATTATAAGAGGACAGCATATACCGTAGATTTTCTACTACTACGTATCTGAAAGTATTATAATAAGTTAATCACTTTTAAATTTGAGTAATTTCATCCATGGAATAGAAATACAATCGTACTAAAAATTAGTTTGTTAGTACTAGTTTCGTTTATCTCTTCCAAAAAAACAAATAATGACTGACTAGTATTGCGCTCAAAATACTTCGAATCGATTTAGATGTATGAAAAATTTCGGATAGTTTTAAATAGAAGTTCTTAAAAATTTTCTAACTTTCGAATCAACTGATTATATTAGTAAATTTTTCATCTTTCATCATATAAAACCTGTAACCTCATTTATTCAGAAAACAATTTTAATATAAAATTTCATATTCCAATGCAGTGCATTATATATTTAAAACATTTTCAAACCGAAACCCTTTTAACTTTTATATAATTAAACATAATTTAAAAACTCAAATTGTAAACCCATAGTGAATGACAAATTAGAACAATTTAAATACAAAATAATAAAAAAAACTTATATAGACTATACTAACGTATCATCATCAGCCTTCATGAACCAATCAGCTTCATCTTTGTACTTTTCGTAAGAATATTTAAATGCTTCTTTGGTTTTTGCCCACAAGTTGTCCCTTCCTTCTTTTACTGGTAGAACAATTGTAGGTAAATTTGCATCTGGACAGAAAAAGGTTAATAATGTTATTTTAGGTATGTTTATACTTAATTTGATGTTCATTGTTATATTGATTTTCATGAATATAAAAGTAATTTACCTTCAGCAGAACTCATAAATAAGAGGATGTTACAACGTTTGCCCCATGTTGCTTTCACGTGTTGCGCTTTACTTTGATGATTCTTTGGACCAGTCATGATCCAGCAAAGAACACGTACTTTTTTTGCAATATCTTGTGCAACTTTATCCTCACCTTTATGGAAATCTTCATCTTCACCATGAAACTTTACCTCCGTTTCAGGTCCAACCTATTATATACATTTACAATGTCATTAGTTAAATAGAAATATATTTCAAGAGAAGTACATATAATCACATATAATTTATTCACTTCTGATTCCAGTTCTGAATAATGATGTGGGTCTCTGGCAACCATGAAGCCACCAGGAAACCAATTAAACATATATGGCACATCTCTTGTAGATGTTATTAAAAGGCATGCTGAGAGAAATCCAAATATCACACCAGCAATAAGGGTCAATATGAAATGTTTCCCATTTCTAATACCTATAATGGAGAGTAAAAGTCTTTTATTAGAAAATGTCCTCTCTCTCTCTCTCTCTCTCTCTCTCTATCTCTCTTTAGATACATTTATTATCAAAGATACAGTTAAACATCAATGTACCATTAATACTTAGTAGCCTTTGTCGAACCATGATACATGACAGAAGCATGTAACTTTAATTAAGCAAAAGGACAAATATTATAATCAGCACCACAGTTCCATTTCAATCTGTTACTAGCCACAAGCATACATCATGCAGTTTCTAATTGAATTGCTGCAACATAAAGATACAACTTTTTTAATTTAATAGAAAGCTCTTTAATTTATAAAAGAACATAAAAGTCTTGCACAATTAAAAAATTACAAATGAAAATATTAAAAGTGGGGAAAAAATTTAATAATAGATATTGCAGTTACATTGGAAACAAACAAAATTTAGTTACATAAAATACAAATTATCTTGGAACAAAAGACCCAATAAATGTTAATAATATTTGACAATTATTTGATATTCTTTTATCCTTTGTCATTATGATTTTTATTACAATATTATCATCAGTGTTACTATCGATGATAGCATGTTAGTAAAATTTATACATAAAGAACTATTAGTAAAATGGAAATTTTATTTTGTTTTAATCTTTGTCTATACAATACCTGAAAATTTTTGTATGTGTAAATGCAAATCCAAAATTGTCTTGGCCATTTTAAAAATGTATGACTCTTCAAATAAACAAACATGTCCTTTTCTACAATTATTAATTTATAACAGAATTCTTATTAATCTTGAATCCATGTGTCTGAAAGTAACGTTGAATTAATTACATACAATAATAACCAGTAGGACAATAACAATGTAACAATATATATTTGTAAAAGAAAAAATTTTGTATAATATTGGAAAGGTATTGAATGCACTAGCAATTTAGTAAATTCACGAGTAACATTAGATTTAAATACATTTTGAAGAACTTTATAAATTTGTATGAAACATTAGTATAATTAAATGAAGTTCTATCTGCATTAGAATTAAATACTTACAAAACTAAGTTAGCATTATTCTAACAAAAGGTTTAATAATAATATAGCACAAAAACAAGCAGAGAATGATAATCGATGTGAAAATGTAAATATGAAACAATTATATTGAGGAAAATAATAAACTAAGTACATCATTAGGAAATGTTATGCAATCATTGTATTAGTAGAATATTGCATCATAAAATATGCAAGTGAATAGAATCGAGGCTGTACAGGCTCGATGCAAGGTCATCAATATCAATTGCATTGTGCAGAAATAAAAGTAGACACGAAAAGAATACAAAAGTATGAATTATTAGCAAAAAAGAACGTTTAAAAATGTTATTCATGGAGCAACAATACTTTACCATAGTCTATACAAGAAACTCACTTCTGATTTTTTCTTTTTTGTAGAATTTAAATTAATATTGTCACAGGAAAATTATTTTAATTATGAGAAATTGTTGTCCTAACACAACTAATCATTTTAAACTTTTTTCAACAAACTACTTGTCACTATTCTCTATAAAGAAAGAATATTTTATAATATGTACGTATTTTGGGAACACAAAAAAATGACTTTATCATTTTTTCTAAGTACTCCTATATCCTGTATTTTCGTTCTGATAAAAGTATTCTGATAAGAAATTGTGACGTTTATTTACTTACATCAGCAAACATAACTTGCAATCGCTGCAAAACCTGAACGAATTCATAATGATTGCAGCGTAAAACCGTCTTTAGGGAACTGAATTATACACGTAAATGCGACTAAATATTTAATACAAAATCATTCTTTCTGTAATGGCACATTAAAAATATACGTTTATTTTACCTAACAAATCTACAAGATATTAAGTTTTTCGTAAAAATGTTATGTTATATTAAAGTCAATCTATCATCGTAGTAAGATTGTTTTAGTTTTCATGCAATCACTACATTGGTATAATTGTCTAAACGCATTTTTCACTTCTACAAATATTTTGTTTAGCATTACTTCGTATGTAAAAATAATATTTATTTTATATGAATACAAAATTCTTTAATACATTAGATATTTAGACTAATCCCTAGACACTTTGTTACTGTCATCTTTCGTTAATTTTAAAACCTGAACATCACACATTTTAACGAATTTAACGAATAACATAAATATTCAAACTACTGTGTTGAGTAATTCACTTAATTTTTAAATATTCCAAAAGTTTGATCCTTGGGCAAAGTACAGTATGTATGTGTATGTATGAAATTACAATCAAAGATCATACAGTTTGAGCTACCAACCAAAACCTTTTGAACAAAAAACATTTAACCCTTAATTGATTAGAATTTTATCGAAGTTCCTATTTTCAAGTTACACACATAAGATTTAATTGTACCACAAATTCGTTTATTCGGTGTTTTATTGTTAATTCGTTACAGTTAAAATATTTTAAATCGACAATAATTTTTACTTTGGAGGATATACAGAGTAAAAAGAAATGAGAGGAATAATGGAACTCTTAGAATGCATATACACTATGCACTATTGTTCGTTTCATTAAATCAGTGTTTCTCAAGCTGTAGACTGTAAGCTGTGAATTTCCAGAAGTCCGTGAACATAGTAACAGACACTGATCACTATACAGGGTGTTTGAAAGACCGTGTTTCATGCACCTGGTCCAGGCACGACTCTTAAACGGGAAAAGATAGAAGAAAATTAAATTAGGCAAACTTAAACGCCATTGGATTATGCTTGTTCTAACATATGTGTCTATTTGGAAATTGGAGTTGTTTCGATAATTTCTAGATCGTCTCTTTTTTTTCCAAATAACTATACAGTTTTCATACGCCATTGGATGCCTTTCTTTATTTTCCACAAAACAGTATTAGGGTACTTAAGTCAAAAATGAATTACTTTAGAAAATATTTTAACTGTATTGTTATAATACGATTGAATAGGACGCTTATGAGTATGATGAAGACTATAACTTCTACTCCGTGTAGCCCTTTGGCCCTTTTTTTTCAAGATGTCGCCCAATGCTACGAGGGCAGAAAAACCCCCAAATTCTGAAAGTGTGATTTGATATCTTGCTATGACAATGGATTTAGTTTATTTATCGTAATAAAGAAGACAAATTCATCTAAAGTGGATGTATCGCTCATTGGAATCTTATATTTTTCTAACCAGACTTCCGATAGTTGTTTTACTTTCTGCTAATATACCTAAAATTGTCTCATATATTTTTACTGTTTATGGTCTCAGATTATGAAAGGCATACAAACTGTTTGAAATCACTTAGTTAAAATTATAGCACAGTAAATGCTCTTTAGTTTCCTAAGGCATACAAAAAAAGCTCTGCATTCCTCTATTCTCTTAATGGTACGGGTTTAACGTATCTGGTTTACGTAAATCTAGTAGTTTAATTTGACGCTAGCCAGGCATCATTAATGATTGCAGCCTTCGAATCACATCAAATGCTTCCTATGCTTAGTATTACTTAGATACTGTTACGATTCTCGTTATTAGTATAATGTGCTATGACTCTATACTGCATATCCGCGATCTTGTTCCTGTGTGAACATAGCTAGGTTAAATTACGCAACTATGTTCATGCTTAATTCTGGAAGGAAAAGGAAATCAGAGAACACTTTATGTAATTGTGATATTGTTTTACTATAGAATTAATAATATTTAATCCCATCAAGTACACGGCTATTACAGTACTCGAAAACCTACTTTTTCTTTCCTTTACTTATACTCGAACCTCCAGTTCGATAAAACTTTAACATTAAATTTGTTTATAAATAAGGATATGTATTTGTAAATAAGTTTGTGCCCGTTTGCACAACACTCGAACATTGACTCTAATTATTTTCGATCTAGATTCACCAAAAGAGTTTGATTGGTTGTAAATCTCTATTTAATCTTTGTAAGTTTCCATAAATCTCTGTTCAAATGATTTGTATTATCTCTTTGTACAAAAAATGAACTTCTAATGGGAAACAAAAGCCTACAAAGTCTGCTATAATTTCAAATTTCTCATATAGTAGGCAGTTTGAAATAACATAGAATGAAAAGACTGAAAAAAATAGAAAAGTAAATCTGGTAAAAGGAAAAGTCAAAAGTAAACTAAGGGAAAGAACAGGAAAGAAAAATGTCTCTGATAATGAATCCTCAAATTTCAACGTTAACATGATCACACCTGTAACTCATTAGATGAAACAAGACTGAAATATGAAGATATAGGAAAACTGACTGATGACGAGGAGAATGTTGTGTGTCTCTTTGCAGTGTAAAGTATAGTGAAGAGATGCAGAAGAATGGGTGCAATGCTCTCACATGTGAAATGTAGATACACTGCCAATATACTGGTTACGATGTTAGAAATTACATTAACAATTATTGTAAATAAATTTTAAAAGTTAGAAAAAATATTTATCAAACATGATTGTTCTTATGTTATAAATTGTTGTAATTTTTGTTTCTGGTTAGCTGATAAGCGAAAATAATTTTATTTTTTACATGTCTTTTTAATTTTGTATCATAAAAGTAAATGCCATTCCAAATTATCTGCATCTTAACCAAATTTTAATTTTGTCATTTTCCGATTATATGAAAATTTTAAATACTTTTTGTTTTTCATTGCTACTGAAAGTTTTGAATATAAAAGTTTATTATTTTCCCTATAATATTGTGTATTATTACTCGTTTTTATTCGCTTTAAACAAAATGGTATTCCAAATATGCTGTCTTTCCTCTATATGATACAAAATATTAAATTATAATTTTGAAAATATCGTAGCGATAAGAACGGGTACGCCATCTGCACACTCAAAATTAAATTGAACTTTCTAGCCAAACAATGTGCCAATACTTTTGTCTAAGTGTAAAATAATTTTGAAACACATTTTTATTAGTCGTTTGTTGTGTATATCATTAATTTTGTTCTGTTTTTATATACATTAAACAAGTAAGGTGTTTTAAATAATACATACGAAAAAACAACTGACAGTTATAAAGAATTTTTTTAGTAGTTATGACTAATTGTATAGGGAATCTCGAACCGTGTCAATACTTACACCCATCACTATATAACAATCTGCTCATAAATAAAAAAAAAAGAGTTTCTAAATATAAAATTACATATGATTAATAAGTATAAGTTTTACTTTTAGTTACCTTATCATACTGTTGATCACATTTTTATGATGCCTGCTCTTGTTGTTAACCAATTGCGTTGGAGCGGTTAAATGCAGAATTAACAACTGTACATCATGTATTTATGTAGCTACGTACATCGTATGTTGTGTAATGCGACTACATTATTTGATATCCACGTGATGACGGCTCCCTTCTTTTTAAGTTTTATAAAGATAAAAACGTTCAGTATCGATGACTTTTATCGTCGAATATTTTACACTAATAATAATGGCCGACAAAGTAATCAAACCAAATAGAATTCAAGCTGTTTTTGACTACTATATTCATCATGCGTAAAAAATAGTTACAATTTTCTGTTTAAATTGTATTTTTAAGTGAAAACACAACAGCAGATTAAACTATATAAACATTTAACTAAGTAATTCATTTTTCACCAAACGTGCACAATTGCAGCACGATTGTAAAAATTACACGTACGATTAATTCTCAATTATTATTTATTTATCGTTATATAACTTTAATGTGAAATTTAATTCGTCTAATTCGAAGATAAACATTAATATTGAATTGTAAACTAAATTTCAGTACTACTTTGAATAAAAAAAAAGTAAAAATAAGTGAGGTTAAAAACATCATAATCGATATACATATTCACCACCCAATTCGACCACATTTCTTCAACCTTTTTTCGAAGGAATAAATATTACGACAATACCTCGGTCCTTAGGCGGGAAAAATTTTGAAAGCGATTCTTGTTACATTTTTTCATTATTTTTGAAATTTTTTGCATCAAATTAGATACTGTAAACCTCGAAACAGGTGGGAATCAGTTAATGAAAAATCCGGACTATACGTAGAACATTCAAATACTTCCTAGTCAATTTATTTGTTGTTTATTCACGTTTGATGAGTTACATATTATCTGGTATCATTCTGTTAACAATGCATCAAAACACGTGTAGTCAGGGCCGAATCTTCTTCGATGACGTTGAGAACACTTTCTTGGTCGACAGAACACGGTCTGTTCATGATCGTCGACTGTCAATATACCACACTTGAATCCCTAATATGTACCATTCAAATAATACACACCTGTTAACAGTATTAAGTCCATAAGCATTGTTAATATTCATGGCGGCTTTTTCAACCTTTATACCTTTTAAAAACTCATTGTACAATAGTTGCCGAATTTCTACTCGTGAGAGCTCTATTTTCTAAACATCATGTACGTATAGTACATCAGACGATCTTAACAAAACACTTTAACAGTTGCTAAAAGAAACGAAATTTAAATAGTTTCCAAACTAACAGCGTCATGTATCATAGTGCTGAAATTTAATTTACAACCTTGTATTTTATAAGGTTATGTTAGTACTTCAAGATCATGCTGTGCTAAGTCGATGAACTATACAGGGTGTCCGGCCACCCCAGGGAACAATTTTAATGGGAGATTTTAGAGGCCAAAATAAGACGAAAATCAAGAATATTAATTTGTTGATGGAGGCTTCGTTAAAAAGTTATTAACATTTAAAGTTCCGCCCGTACTGAATTTTTTTCTAGAAAAATGATTGTAATTGACCCCCGTAACCGAAAATAATTTTTCCAGAACGATTTGAAATTTTTTTTTTCGTCGAATTTGGGCACTTACCTCCCGTCGACTTTTCTGAAAAATTTGTTTTTCATTTTTTAAAAATTTGTTTGACGCTTTATAGAAAAGTTCTCTTATACTTTCTTGTAGGTACCCATGGGCTCTGTGTCAGAAAAAAATTTCAATGAGATATCTTTACTATTGTAGGAGCTATGGCCGTTTAAAAATTGGACCAGTTTTAGGAGGTTTTTCTCACTTTACGGTGTCAAGGAACAACTTTTTCAATATTGTTAGAATTTCTACATATTTTCCACTAAAATACGCGTTGTTTGCATTTCGAAAAAGTAGAATCCTCCAATCCGTTCGGGAGTTATGACATTTTAATGATTCGCATGTCAGTGAAGCATTTCTGGCATCACATTAGATTTTTGGTAAAGAATTTTTTTCTCGAAAATGGGTAGGATTTCATGGGTATGTGTATCCACCAAAAATGATTGTAGTTCTTCCTAATTACAGTTGGAAATCCCAAATAGTAAATATGTTTTTGAAAAACTAGGTTTTTTGCCAATTCGTAAAGAATAAACTGAAAATTTTGAGGAAAAGGGTGGCCCTTGAGGGTATATTAAACGCACGTTTTGTTGAAAAGGTAATACTTGTACGCACTGTGCTACGAAATTAGTTTTGTTTGCGGATCCAACCGTAACACTGTTGTATCGTCAATTTCATCAGGTGATTTCGATTCATTCATATGTATATGCCAATAGAGGAATTTTGAAAACATATGTGTAAAAGAAATTGAACTTGTAATATTTAATTAAGAATAATATATTAATTTAGAGGTGTGCTATCTTTTTGTCCCGGCGTGTATTTATCTTATGTCGTTTGATATAGTTTAATCCGAGTACGATGTTGAAATGTGTAAACAGATGGCTCTTTATTTTACGGAGTTTCATAAATTTAGTAGTTACGAATTTATTTACAAAATTGAAGTTGCTATTCGCGAAATTTTCCTTTCATTATGGTACTTTGCTTATGTGAGCCTAGGTATGTACATAGGTCGGAAAGTAAAAATGCTTGGGCAGTCGAGATTCTAAATTGTATGCCGATTGTCGCGGGGTCGGATTTCAGTTGTTAGAAGAGTGAGAAGGCAAATGTGAGCCTTTCTCTCTCGACTTCCACGAGGCGGTCCGAAATTACTTCGGGCAGCTTCGGAGAATCGAGAAAGAGGGGATGCGTTAGTTTGCCTTTGTCGACTCTCCGAAACTCCACGAGCTCACGTACGCGTGATCTGGCATAGTGTGAGTAGTGCACCCGGTGCTCAATCTGGCATCACTGCGTACGCGTGATCTGGTATAGTATGTACGAACGCGGCCATGATAATGGTCTGTCATCTGGTAATACTGATCTGTGGTGTCATTTAGTCAGTCATCTGATGAACATCGTTAAAATCGAGTAACACAATGACAGCTAATTACTATTTTGCGATTGTCGGTCACGCCGATAACCCTTTATTCGAAATTGAGTTTAATAATTCTGGAAAGGATGCAAAGGTTCGTCATTCTTGTATGTTTACAAATTTACTTAATGATCGTTTTTACACAATTAATTCCTTGGAAGTATGATTTACATTTTCCTATTTGCTTTCAGTTGCTATGGTATAATAATATTCTGTAATATGATTAATATTTTTTAATGTCTTTTAAAACATTACATATGTAATGCTGAATTTTTGGTTAGAAATATATTGTACGTAATATGTAACAAATAGTTTATATTTTAATTAGGTAAATCGTACTTATACTTAGTTTATATTTTGGCTATCTTATTGTGTACATATACGATGTACGTTAATTAAATTTACTTTATTTTAATAGAAAGAAGATTATACACATTTGAACCAATTTATTGCTCATGCTGCATTAGACCTTGTTGATGAGCATACATGGAAGACAACAAACATGTATTTGAAAGTTGTGGATAAGTTTAATCAGTGGTTTGTGAGTGCTTTTGTCACTGCAACCCATATTCGATTTGTTATGGTACATGATAGCAAAAATGAAGATGGTATAAAAAACTTTTTCAATGAAATGTATGAAACATATATAAAGGTGAGAAGCATACTAGGAGTTTGACTTAGTTTTAGCCCTTTGCATTCTGAATTTTAATTGTATTATCAATCAATCAATCTATTATCTTAAAAGTTGCATATGTGGAACAATAGCTGTTATTGGTTCTTGATATCTTACATTTGTAGATGTTCACAATTTGTAGAAAATTTTCTACACATTGTAACTACACCCTTTTTATACAGAACGTTTCAAGTAATTGATACGAGCAAAGAAATATGTAATCATATCTAATTAGCAAGCCTAAGACTGTGCATATGTATTATATGTACAGATGGATATTATCTCAAAAACAGCATACTTAAGCCATTTGCATCATGATTCTCCTACACAGTATTCAAGTCAAATAATAATGTATTTATATAGTCTCTGATATAATAAAAGTTCCATATCATTTCTAACATGATATTCAAGTATAAAGGGCAAACATTTGATACTTTATTTAAATTATATATTAATTCTTGTTTTTCTTTCTTCTAGTATTCCATGAATCCATTCTACAAATTAAATACACCTATTAAATCTGTTGGTTTTGAGAAAAAAGCACAATTGTATGGCAGAAAATACTTATCTTCCTAAGTCTTTCTATTTAAAATTTATATAGTAATGAGTATTATACAAATATCACATTATTATTGTTAGACATTATTACATAATGTATAACAATTATATTTTGTATAATTTCATTAAATTTTATATCTCCATTGTAAATAATGTAAATATTACAGTATCACTAATATCTTTCTTATAAAACTATATGTAATAAAACTCTCATTCCGATTCTCGTTATTTCATAATAAACATAATTTTTTAAACGTATTAAAGTTCATTCTCAAAGTGTGGTAATATGTATTTAATAAAAAGTTTAATGCTTGTAATCGAAAGGATCACTAATATTCGTGCTAATTGAGCGTTTTACGATACGAATAATCAGTTACATATGTATATACCTTATTTTCATTGTACAATTACTATAAAAACATATTACTCAACAATTTAATTTATTTATAAAACGTGCTATCAAGATTTCAAGGTACGTTTTTATTTAATAGAGTTAGAGATCTGTAAAACATTCCTTATGTTTATATTAATAAAAAATCAAAATCATAGTACAAATTTTCCATGCTTTTTATTTGCAGTCTACTCCACCTTTTCCATTAATTCCTTGATTTTTTAGATTCTAAAGTTTTATAATCCCTTAAAATTAATCAAAATATTATTCGAATCTAATTAAGTTCTTCAACCATTTTTCTATACGTTACATTAGTTCACGTAATTAATAAGTTACAAACGATTACTGGAAGCGATAGTTATTTAAATATTGCGTTAAAAAATACCTAAAATAGTGTCGCCATCTAATATCACGGATTCGTACTGCTAAAATCGTGCCAGTATCACAGAATGTTAGAGGAGGTATCCGGAGTACAGGTTATTATAATTATTCACTAATAAATCTTTTTCTGGGATTAAAATATGAACTTTTAGAATTGAAGAATATAGTATAGACCCTTGACAACATTTAAGGATACTTTTTATAATCATTTCGCCCGTAATTAACAAGTTATTAACGAATATCGGAAGTCTGAACATTTATGGCTGTATCACTGTCTGCTTTAATCGATAAATTATCAATTTTTCCACAATAACAAATATTTTCGCTATTAGGGAACCTAGTAGGCATCCCTGGCAACATTCAAGGACCGATTTAGCAACGCTCCACGCTCTAATTAATTAGTTATTAGCGATATATATTTAAATAACTATCGCTTCCAGTAATCGTTTGTAACTTATTAATTACGTGAACTAATGTAACGTATAGAAAAATGGTTGAAGAACTTAATTAGATTCGAATAATATTTAGATTAATTTTAAGGGATTATAAAACTTTAGAATCTAAAAGATCAAGTAATTAATGGGAAAAGTGGAGGAGAATGGAAATAAAAAGCATGGAAAATATGTACCATGATTTTGATTTTTTATTAATATAAACATAAGGAATGTTTTACAGATTTCTAACTCTATTAAATAAAAACGTACCTTGAAATCTTGATAGCACGTTTTATAAATAAATTAAATTGTTGAGTAATATGTTTTTATAGTAATTGTACAATGAAAGTAAATTTTTTTTTAAATATACATAATCAGGGGCTCTTTAAACGTCTAGCAGTCGAGTGCTCGGTCTTGTAAGTTACCAGTAGTAACACTGACGAAGTGTACGAAGATTAACAACGAGTAGAAGGTTAACAACAACAGTGTTTAAAATTAACAATAAATTGTAGTTGTGCTGTATATTTTATATTATTTACATGTATTTGAGGAAAACCTCTTCTGACAAAGAATTAATGTTGTACGTTGAAAAATGGTTTCAGGTTGTATAGGTTAGAGTGAATCGTGCAGTTGCGACAATTATAACAAAATGCAGGCGAACACAACTATGAGAGCCTTACTCTCACGTAAGTTTCTGAATCTTCATCTTCATGAAATGTGTTCACACTTACTGATATCTATTTTATTTTGCAGCACATACTTTCTACAAATTTATATCAGCAGCTGGATTGAAGTCTTTCGCACCTCCAGCTACTTTCAATGGTAACAAAATTAAGAAATAGATGTAATACGAGAACAATGTTTTCAACAAAAACTATGTTTTTTAGATGTCGACTATCCTTCGCGTCACAAGCTTAGAATTGTGACCAAAGTACCCATATATCCACCAACCATTCATGTGTTCACGATGCAAAAATGTTTGAGATTAATGCGTGGTCCTGAATTACTACATAATACTCTTCTACATAAGCAGTATGGCATAATTGTAAGACAATAGGTATTGGAATTGAATGATTTATTATATATTTTGTGCACGTGCAAAGGTCTGTAACATTATAGGCAACTCAAGGAGGCAGAATGAAACACTGTCATTTTGAAGTGATACGACATACATTATTAAAGAAAATGGATTTTACAACTGGATTTGCAATTTGGCGAGTCCAGGATCCTTGGCAGCCAATTAGTAAAAAGGTCTGTAAACTCCATGCAATACAGTATTGAACTAGAGAATAATAAGAAATATATAATTACAATTTAATTTGCATTTTAGAGCCTGGGCGTACGTATGGGAGGTGGCAAAGCTTCCATTAACCATTATGTAAGCCCAGTAAAAGCAGATCAAGTTATCGTCGAAGTTGGAGGACCGTTTGAATATTTTGAGGTAATGATAAATTTTATTACTAGGTCCAAATATGCTACCATTTATATACTATGTTTATATCTGGAATGATTTTGTTAGATCAAAAGAGCATTGACGGACATCGCTAACAAGTTACCATTCCGTGCTATACCAGTTAGTCAAGAGATACTGGACGAAATATCAGAAAAAAAGAAGAAATTGAAAGAGGAAAATCAAAATCCTTGGACGTGGAAGTACTTAATTCAAAACAATATGCTTGGTTGCCACAATTGGATATCGAAATACGACAGACGGTGGTTTAACGAATATTTGTAAACTTTAGGCCATACAATTTGTAAATAAATAAGAATCAAACAATGTTCGAGATTAGAGTTGTAATCTGTTCTGTACCACTTAAGCATTCCCTCTGTATTTCGTTTATACGTTTTCAAGTGGTTTTTATAAAAATGAGATTCCTTAGCTGGTACAGTGAAAACTCGATAAATGTCGCTACTCCGGGTCCGGTCAGCAACACTTACGGAATAGGAGAATCGTCTTTCGAATTTGATTGTAGTTTGCCGACGCTTCGAACGTAGAAAGAGTCAGTAGCTAAAGAAGAAAGAGGGACTGAAACTCGGATTTATCGCCCCAGTTTAAATATCCGCGTCAGTGTGGCCACACTACTGCACAGAAGAAAGTTTTTTATTTTTTACTTTTTGTTAATAAAAATTTCACTATCATGTTGGGGAGATTTCTCTGATTAAAATGAGGCTAAACACGATATAAATCGGTCAATATTTGGTAGCATAATATTGAATTAAATATTGTACTTGCGAGTCTTTCTCTTTATTTATCCTTCTTGTGCTGTCCTTTTCTATGTTCGGAAATATCAAAGAACGACGCATCGAGGTGCTGGCTACATTTATCGAATGGGAGGTAGCTATTTTCAAACGGAACGCTTCCACCCAGAGATGCCAGAAAAGCACCGCCGGGTGCACACGCACACATGCCAGATACGCGTACGTGAGCTCGTGGAGTTTCGGAAAGTCGACAAAGGCAAACTGACGCATGCCCTCTTTCTCGATTCTCCGAAGCCGCCCGAAGTAATTTCGGATCGCCTCGTGGGAGTCGAGAGAGCAAGGCTCACATTTGCCTTCTCGCTCTAAACAACTGAAATCCGACCTCCCGTCAACGGCATACGATTTGGATTCTCGACTGGCCAGGCATTTTTACTTTCCGACCTATGTAGGCGCACATAAGCAAAGTACCCATAATGAAAAAAAAATTTTGTAAAATTTATTTTACGGAAATACACGTTTTAAGACCTCCTGATCATATTTTAATTATTGAAAAAAAAGACATTTTTTTTATTCCCATGTATGAGCACACATATGTATATTATTAATACGATTTTTGAAAATCAAAATACTTTAAGATTGAAAATTAATAAATTAAAATGAGATTCCACTCTTTACCAGTATTGTGCACGCTGTGGTATTTTTCAATAAGAAGAGTTCTTACTTTTATAACATAAACAAAACAGTAGAATTAATAATTGCAGAAATTAATTAATAATGATTTTCCTCGATTGTTTTGAAATAACCGTATCAATTGGTTATGACGAACTAAATATGTAGAACTAACTAGAAACAAAGGAAAAGTGATCCCGTTTGCCAGTTTAATACAAAGTATGGGTTGTATCTTAAATTTTAAAAGGACATAGTCGAATATTTTTAAAGGTACAAAACATAGCGTTTCATTGTAGAACAGTAACATAAGTTAGCAGGTAATGTCATAAAACTGTTTTTCTCAGCTATATCCCTTTTTACCTGAAGTATAAGGTAAAAAGTACGAGCTACAAGGTACGACTATCCGAAAATCGTTCACATTTTATCAATGTAAATGAAGCGGCCTTTCCATCAGAGTTAGATACAAAATTTTGTTATTTCTGTGAAAACAAAACTTTCAGTAAATGTACGTGGTGCTTGAAATTTTTATGTTTTGACTGTTTTTGTGAAAAGTACCATCCAGATTCATGTACTTCGTACATGGAAAATAACATATGTTAAATGTAATCGGTTAAATTTAACTTTAAAAAAAAATATTCGAAGGTCAGACAAAAATATAATGTCATATTTAGTGTACGATTAAAGTATGATTGAAAAAATAAAAAAAAAAAGTTCAAGCAGGGTTCGAACCAGCAGAGCAGAAGAAGTTCGGAACTTGCAGGCAAAGACCTCATCACTCACGCCACGCTGACTAGTGGTGAAAACAGTTCTATTTCTGAAAATAAGTACCTGTAATAACTTTAATAATATCTCAAAGTAAAACCTAACCCAAAACCTGGTACCATTCCAACTTTTCCTTGTTAGAAACGAGTTTTCAATTTGTCTTAGCGAAAATCGCAATCACATTTTGCACATTATTCTAAAACATTTGTGGTATTCGTTTTCAATGCGATTTAAGTAAGCATGTAATGTATAAGATTTCATTTAATGTTTTCTTTTCTAGAGAAGATAGAGAAAAAGTTTATATAATTTTTTTTATATAAAATTTAATTCGTCCTAAGATTTATATGAAACATTTAAAAGATTTTTTATACATTATGCCTATATATCGGAACAACTATGAAACAAGAGGTATAATCTGTAAGGAGTGTATGCGTGGCTAGGAGAACCGTTATCGTTTGCGTCGATAGGAGTGTTTAGTCTAAGCTAGAGTAGGTATCGAGTAAGGTGTTTAGGTTTAAGCTGAAATACGTTTTAGAGACTGCGTCTCGAACGTGCGTTTTGTTTAGATCATTATTATAAGATAGGAATAAGGAAGGGTCGACTTTGACTGCAGGAACGTCACTCTGTATCGAACGTTAGTCGAGAGCAATCACAGTTTTACGTTTATGATCTTTTACGTTTACGTTTTATGTCTTTCTTTTATGTTCTTTATGTTAAATAGTTAGTAAATATTAAATAATATAATTACATCGTTACGTTTAGTGTTCACGTATTTGAATCCGTCCACACGCCTTTGAAATGAGAACATAAAACTTAAATGTAAAGTTTCATTTAAATTCATTCAGCTATTTATATTCAATCGTATTAATAATATACATGTGTGCTCATACATGGGAATAAAAAAAAATTTCTTTTTTTTCAATAATTAAAATATGATCAGGAGGTCTTAAAACGTGTATTTCCGTAAACTAAATTTTACAAAATTTTTTTTTCATTATGGGTACTTTGCTTATGTGCGCCTACATAGGTCGGAAAGTAAAAATGCCTGGGCAGTCGAGAATCTCGGCTCGAGAATCCAAATCGTATGCCGTTGACGGGAGGTCGGATTTCAGTTGTTTAGAGCGAGAAGGCAAATGTGAGCCTTTCTCTCTCGACTCCCACGAGGCGATCCGAAATTACTTCGGACAGCTTCGGAGAATCGAGAAAGAGGGCATGCGTCAGTTTGCCTTTGTCGACTTTCCGAAACTCCACGAGCTCACGTACGCGTATCTGGCATGTGTGCGTGTGCACCCGGCGGTGCTTTTCTGGCATCTCTGCTTCCACCGTTCCGTAAGTGATCAAAAACTGCAACACTTATGAGATAGGAGGTTTCGTTAGCTACCTCTGTTCGATAAATGTACTATCCACTGACCTTGCGAAGATACGAGTACACAATATTTAATTCAATATTATGGTAACAAATATTGGCCGATTTATATCGTGTTTAGTCTCATTTTAATTAGAAAAATCTTCCCCACATGATAGTAAAATTTTTATTAAAAAAAAGTAAAAAATAAAAAACTTTCTTCTTGTACAGTAGTGTGGTCACACTGACAGGGACATTTAAACTAAGATGACGAAGGCAATAAAGATTTTTAAAGAAAGCCGCTACGTCTCCGGTTACACTTCGCCTCACTGGTTCAAGGGGGATCCCCCTAGTGGTGGGGATAAAAATGTATCATTTATGGAACAGCTCTTGAGGACATTTATCGAGTTTTCACTGTAGTATGAAAGGAAAGTAGACGCTAATAGGACGACACAGGAAATGAAACTCTAACAACACCGATATGTTACAATTACAATATTTTATATATCTTTGATGACGGTTTGGTGGTAACAACAGGTAAATACTACATATTGTACATTGAGTAGGCGATAGTCGTACCTTATTGTGTTTAATTAGCGTATCGGTTACGCCGATGCCGATGGCGACGTCTACGACGACGACAGGCAACACCAACGACGGGGCGAGGGCGATGAAAACAGCGATAACAGCAGCAGCAACAACAACAATAATCTCAATAACAATATAACAGTAACAGCAACGATGACGTACGAGGTCGTAATCAATAGAATGTAAGGGGCGATATACAGGGTGTTCGGCCAACCCTGGGAAAAATTTTAATAGGAGATTCTAGAGGCCAAAATAAGACAAAATAAAGAATACCGTTAAAAAGTTATTAACAATTAAATTAAAAAATTTCAAATTGTTTTGGAAAAATTATATTCGGTTGTGGGGGTCAATTACAATCAGTTTTGGTGAATACAGATACCCCCGAGATCCTACCCACTTTCGAGAAAAAAATTCGAGTAGGTACTTTTGTAGACGAAATTAAAATATTTAAAATCATACTAAAAAAATTATATTTAGTTATAGGGGTCAATCACAATCATTTTAGGTCATTACATATACCCCCGAAATCCTACACACTTTCTAGAAAAAAAATTCGAGGTGTGAAATTTATCGACGAAAAAAAAATATTTCAAATCGTTTTGGAAAAATTATTTTCGGTTGCAGGGGTCAATTGCAATCAATTTTGGTGACTAGACATACCCCCGAAATCCTGCGCATTTTCGAGAAAAAAATTCGAGTAGGTACTGAAATTTGTAGACGAAATTAAAATATTTAAAATCATATTAAAAAAATTATATTTAGTTATAGGGGTCAATCACAATCATTTTAGGTCATTACATATACCCCCGAAATTCTACACACTTTCTACAAAAAAAATTCGAGAAGGTGTGAAATTTTTCGACGAAAAAAAAATATTTCAAATCGTTTTGGAAAAATTATTTTCGGTTGCAGGGGTCAATTGCAATCAATTTTGGTGAATAGACATACCCCCGAAATCTTGCGCATTTTCGAGAAAATAATTCAGTACGGGCGGAACTTTACACGTTAATAACTTTTTAACGAAGCCTCCATCAACAAATTGGTATTCTTGATTTTCGTCTTATTTTGGCCTCTAGAATCTCCCATTAAAATTGTTCCCTGGGGTGGCCGAACACCCTACATAATCAATGCAATATAATAATACAGTATGAATAAGTACAACGAATGATCGTTATATATCATCGTTTATCATGAATTTGTGCCTGCTACGGTAACGATAATGTACAGAGTGATCCACAGAAAGTGCTACAAGCTGTTTTTTCGGGAACAGTTAGGGATACAGATAAAATGCTATTCTTGTGCTTCGGTTATCCGACCGTGGACTGTCAAGAATTTGGAGAAACGGTCGTTTAATTGTATTAAAAGAAACGTAATACAAGGTGTTGCATTCGTTGATAGTCAATTAAAAAAAAATTAAAAAAGAAACGAATAATACATTTAGTTGAAACGTTTCTTCCTACTCGCGTGTAATTACCTTCAAGTGGAATGTAAACGACATTAACAGTTAGTATCACTTTACCGCGGACCATTCTACGAGTCAATGACAGATATACATAGGCGGTTCGCGAGAAGATCGTCGATCGTTGCCATCGTGGTCGTGGACGTCGTCGTCATTGCCGTCCTCGTCGTAATTCATTTTTCTTTCATTTTTTTTTTTCTTTGTCGCCGTCGCCTCGTCAATCGTTTGTCTATCGTAAATTCGCATTTATCACACTTAAATGTAGATATACAGCGACGACATCGTGTGTCCTTGAGGAATGTGTGTGAACGCGGAGTCAGCATTGCGACGCGATTACAGTCTATTACAATATATGTATATGTATATATTTATATATAATATTAATCATCCTCCCTGATCGGTGGGAACTTATCAAAAATAAAAAAAGGGGAAAAGAGAGACCGGCAGTAGTTTCGATATTTTAGGGCGCCGCCATTGCGGGCGTTCCCGCGTCCCGAGGACGAGCGTTAAACTAAACTCCCCGAGTGTCCATACGTCGTGTAGAAAATTCGACGCCGCCGAATTTTGCGTCGCCCGTTCCGAATTCGTTCGTTCGCGATCGTCGCGATTCGATTACGCTCGAGACGAATGATCGCGCAAACGTCCGCGGCGAAATTATCGGTGACAAATGATCGAGCGAGCAGCCAAACTACATACGTACAAGCGAGCCGAGAAAGTATTCTTCACGGGGCGTTTTACAGCGTGTTGTGCACTTTTCTCTTGGCCGATCGCGCGACTTCCGAACGACGAAAAGAAGGAAAATGCGCGTACATGTATTATATACACAGTTGGCCGCAGCCAGAGCTGGAGGAAATAGTATTCTAAGTAAAAAATAGTAACTGTAACGATCGTATTTGTACGTCGATAGTGTGACGGCGATATTTCGAGGCGGTTTCGCTTCGTTGACATCGCGGCAAGCAAACATTCAAACGGCAGTAACTTGCACGTACCGTACTCCTCGAACGTCGTTTCTCGCATTATGGCCGATCGAGTCCGCTAGCCTCGCCGAACAATTCTAGTCTATTCAATGATTCTCGGCCAACAAGTTCGAAACTAAAAATACTTTTCTCTTATCCGTCGAGCAGTTCGCGTTATCGCGTTCGGTTCTCGTTACAAATACAGCGCACGATCTCTTATTCGAGACACTTTTTTTTTTACGCCAAACGCGACCTTCGCGAATAAACTCTCGACCCTTCGAGACTCGAGGATGAAGTCGTACGCAAAGATCACGAGTACGGTGAACGCAATTGATTTTTTTCTTTTTCTTTTTTTTTTTGCGCGAAACGGCTACGCAAGCTCTCCACTATTTTCTATCGTAAATACTATTTTTGTCCGGCTCTGCCCGGGACACCACGCCATTGTGATTCGTTTCGCGAAATAAACGAAGTCGACACACTCGTCCCGAGCATTGCCGGGGCGCAGTGGCGTTACCGAGATCAATTCGAAGGGTTTCGACTTTGTGACGAACGAAAATCAAACGTATCGATTAATTTCTGATTAGTTTTCTTCAACACGTTGACCGCCGTTTACATTTCTTTAAAACAAATATTATATACTAATACTTGCAAACTTTTAAATAACGTTATCGAGAATTCTGTAAAATGCACGTTGAAAGTATAGGGATTATCCAAATTGAGCGTCACATCTTTCAGCAGATGGGACTACTAAACGGTTTGATTGTTCTTTGTTATATTTCACACACGCCATCACTAAGCATAAACGAATCATGATGGAACGCTACACTGTGCAACAACGTGTACAAATTGTTGGAAATTATTAGAAACGTTCAATTTCTGTTCGAGTTTGTTTTCGTGCACTTCGCGAAATTCTTGGTCCAAATAAGCAACCTTCTGACAAAACAATTCGTCGAATTGTGAATAAATTCAAAGAGAATGCTCAGTTTGTAATGTAACACGTGATACGTATCAACGTGGAGCTAAAAAACAATATTATAGCCGCCATTAATGAAATAGAACCCCAATTATGTAATAGTGTAATAGACAATTGGGCAAAATGAGTCAAGCTCATGAAAAAAAGCCTAGTCGGTCATTTGGATGATATTGTGTTCCACGATTAATGTTTCGAAGTGGACTTTATATTAAAATAAAGAAACCTGAAATATCTCAAACAGTTTGTGTTTTATTTCAATTTAAAGATGCGACACTCAATTTGGATAACCCTATATTTTTATTTTTCGCAATATAATTGGAAAAGACATCGAGAACACCTTAGACTTGGTAAACATGATGCGGCAGTCAACGAGTCAAGTCTGCGAATAAATAGCGAATATAGGGAAGTCCTATGATTAATCTATCGAGAAATAGTTTATACGAAAATTTTATTTAACCTAATAAATATTATATTAGAACTTGTATCGGTTATTTCCCTTTAAAAATCAAAAATATAACTTTATCCTTTTCTCTAATATTATACGATATGTCCCCCTTCGTAAATTTTAGCACGCAATCTCCAGAATTGTCAATTACGCCACTGTGGGGGACGTGGTTCCCGGGCGTACGATCGATTACACTGTCCAACGCATTAAAATCTTTCTTTTATTCCACAATATCCACCGGATGTACCCAGTACAGATCCTCGTAGGAACCCGGAAGCAGAACTGCTCCATCAACCTCTCAGTTCTCGAGAAACGCAAATTTTATTTTTTTTTTTTGATACCATCTAAAACATTTTCACTTTTCACGCAGTACATCATATTTGCCCAATATCGTGTTTCTTCTTTTTTAAAAATATTCATGTTTTTCCAGAACCGAGGATGATGGAACGATTCTGCTTCCGGATTCGCGTTTGGGGCGAGGAATTTTACCAGGAACATTTAGTGGATATTACGGAAGAAGACTCGCGTCGGCAGTGGTTACGAGTAAATTAGCGCGTGTCTCCATTCACGATGCTCGATATGATTGATTCGTCCGACGTTCCACCATCTCGCTGACGAGGAGTCTCTCTCGGTGCTCCCCGAAGAAGAGGATAGGGATAGCCACGGGGGACAGATGAATGACGCTGATACGGTGGGCCCCGCCTGGATGAATTCGAGAACGCGCCATTTTTCGGCGACCGTGGATACTTCGCGTTCGTTTATTATTTAATAATCCATTAGTTTTACGCTATAAGACTAGATTCACGGCGGGGTATCTTGCGCCGTTTCCAGCACCCTTTAACCCTTTGCAGTTGCTGCTGCGGCGCGCGCGCGGCCGACGATAAACCTAACGAATGTACAAAATGGAACCGAGCTTCTCTTACTGGAGCGTTCCTCCGTGTATACGATATTTACAAAAGTACAGGCACCGGGCGTACCGAGACACGCGTTGCTACACTAAACGAGACTCTACGCTCTCTCTCGGGACGTGCACGCGCCCCTCGGAACGCTCTGCGCATATTTCGATATTCGAAGCCTCGAGCATACCCGCGAAAGAAAAGGGAACCCGCCGTTTCGATCGATTCGGAACAGAATGATACACCAAGCGGAGTCGATCGATCTTCCTTAAAAAACGTTCAAATAAACACAGAGCGTCGAGTCGGGAAACGTTTCAGAGTACAGATTCGAATAAATAGGAAAGACTCGACGATAATACCGCAAAGAGTTAACGTGCGTGGCCCGCTAGGACGCGCCCTGACACTCTTGGACGCCGACGCTCGAGCGTCTACTCCCTCGTTCTCGGTACTCGTCAACATTACATATCACTATACCTCACGCTTGACGTGCTAACACACAACTTACAGATACATACATACTTAGACAAGTAGCTCTTAGATGCCTATGTAAGACAGAATGGATCCGCGGATCTATGGATCCCCTGCGCTCCTACTGGCTGATCGCATTGCAAAGCCGCGCGTTCGCGTTACGTTAACTATCGACACCCTATCGCCGTGACTGTCGATATCCCGTCGTTTGTCGTCGTGGAAATCCAAAGTCGCGTTAACACGGCGCTCCAATTAGCGTTCTTTCAACGGTATGTTTCGTAATACGTTTCATACTTTTAAAACCGGGAACGCGGATCGACGGATTAATTAAAGAGACTTTACCGTACTTTCTCTTGTCATCGACGTTTTCATAAGATTTATGCATCGAATGTACATAGTTTTCAATCCATGTACATCTTGAATCATTTTCAATCGTCTATTAGTATCTTAATACAGCGACAAGTGTCTTTGGTGTCACGCAACGACGTTTGCCGTTAAACGACGTCTCGAAAGAACTTATATAAAAATAAGAGGGCGATGTCTGTGATTGGAACGTCGTGACAACTGTACAGTTTACATTTTCGAAGCAACAATTGACGTGACATCGACCGTCACGGAATTGAAAATCGTGGGATTAACGTAGCGCGAAGACGGACCTTGCGGCGAGGCGCGCGATTGGATTCGCAACAGGAAATCGAACCGGTGCGGGGAGAACGAACACTACCAGGGGATGTGCGTGTATGTTTGCATATCAGTCATTCGCTCACGCGTACGCACACATAATCACATTCTCTCTGTGTCTCTTTCGGTGCGTCTATAGGTATACATACGAACGTGAACGCGATTCGCGATGGAATTAACGATGGCACAGATGCAGGGGTTCGCGCGAAAAGAAACACGTGCCGCGACTCGAAAGGCGGCACGTACGCGGACAATTGCGGAATCCAATCGACGGGGAATGAATCGTAATTAAAAGCGATAGATGGAGCAGCGTAACGGGCCGCGGCTAGCTCGTTGATAATCGTTTCCCGATTTGCCCGCTCGCAAATCGTTGGAGTTGGCGAGTTCACGATTCTCCGTTGAACGGAGTGACTCGCAACAGTTGGTTGCTTGCCCATAATTCCCCGTTAATTTAGCGCGGAGAATTTTATTCGCAAACAAGCACAGATTTAAAATACGTTAACCGATTTTCGTGCACGTTTCGTTCGGGTAATTTGGATTTGGATAAAATGATATGTTGATTTCAAATAGTACAGTCTTCAAGTAGATATTTGTTGCAATTGGCTCCGTTTGACGGTACATTGTCTTCAGTTTCGTATTGCGTTTAGTATAAATCGTATAAAACGAGAATTCCTTTCAACGTAACAGTTACTTCAGGCAATAAAGTAATTCCTTAATCTCTTGGGTAACTCCTATCAAGCTAATAGTAAACTTCGATCATTCTTTTTTTTTTACTATACATAGTTACAGACTTAAGACAAAGAATAAAAATAGCAAGCTAGAAGCGCATGCTTGTAAATAGAATCGATTATAATTTTTCGCCTTAACTCTGTAACTATGCGTATCAAAAAAAAAAGAAGGAGTTATGCAAATAAAAAAGTCTAGGATTCCCCCTGTTTCCCCTAAGAGATCGTCCCAAAAGAATTTATTGTACATGACAAAATTAATTCCCATGGATATATATAATTAAAATGAACGCAAAAGTGAACCCCAGTGAAAACGACCTGGTGACCCGTATACGCTTTTCCGTTTGGCTCCGTCGAGCGACTGACGCGCGCGTTTTGTGCTCTACCGTTACATCCGTTCGAGTCCATAATTAACATGCGCTAAGTCGCGTATATGTATATATATATATATAATATATATATTTACACAGTCTTACAAAGCAAAATTTACAAACATTACGACGTACGGTCGATCGAATAAATATTATTATACGTCTCCTCCGGCGCAGATTAGAAAGAAAATGGCCGGCCGACCGGCTACCCGTTCGTCGCGATATCGATCTCGGTTGCGCCAGGCATTAAACGTATGGAAGACGCGGCGGCGAGCAACAGTGTAAAAAAATAAGCGTGCTAGAGAGCACGTCGATGGAAAAATGAAAAGGCCCCCTTTTCTGCCTCGGGAACACTGACAATAATGGATGGACGCGAAAGCTTTGACAGGCGACTAAAGACAGAACAAGAAAAAAAAAAAAGAAAGAAAAATTGAGAAAAACAAGCGCCCGGTGTTTCGACGTGGCTGTCGAAGAACCCGAGATCGATCTCGAGACAAAAAGGTCGGTTTTTGTTCGGCCACTTTTTGGTGAATGCCCTGTCACGAGGCGCGGGAACGAGAGAATCGCTCGATCGCCGCGCGACGAGGGCTTGAGCGAGAGATCGATAGTGCACGGAGGTGGAAGCGAGGATCGGCGGTCGATCGATCGTCGGGGAAAAGAGGAGAAAGCTGTTCGAATCGAGCGCGCGATCTACCTAACCCCGCCGGCCACCGACGATCACACCTTTAAAGCCTCTGTGAGTATGCGTGTATGCGTGTATGTGTGTATATATGTTTATGAATAATCGGTAGAAGCGATACGGTGAACTTCGCGAGACACGGTAGCGTGAAATTTCAAGCCCTTATATCTCAGCTATCGAACGTAGTAATCGTCACTGAACAACGTAAATAAATAAAGGTACACGGTTGTCCGTTCGATTCTTCTCTTCGTTTTTGCTTGTTCTATGTCGTTCCCTACTTAATTGAGCGGAAGACGGGTCAATCAATATCGATCATTACGCTAATATGTAATAATCGATACATGATAATATTTTAATTAAATTTAAATGGCAAGTATGCGTTGATCAATGTGACCCATCTGATATGTGTACGAGCGTATCCCCTTACAGAGTTGGACAAATTTTGTAATACCAATATTAATAATTTAATAGCGAACGAATACGAGAAATCACAGGCTGAGAGATTAGGGGGAAAGTGAACCGTGAAAATAGTAAGGATCCACCTTTGCCTCGGAGAGAACAAAGAAGCCTCTTATTCTACGTTCATCCATTCCCTAAAAAGTGTTATTATAGAAAAAGTATATCGAATTCATCGAGTCACCGGGAGTTCACCGCGCATCTCTTTCACCCGCTATGCCTGTATACGTGTACCGGTGTGTACCTGTGTGTCGATGCGTTTTGCGCGATACTCTTGTTGTGCTGCTAGGAAGCTGACTAGATTATAGCCTAGAATACGAAACGTTTCGGAGCGTCGTTCGAGCGGGCGACTCGGCCTACGTGCGCGTTCTCGATAAGAACGTGCTAATATGGCGATTAGAGAGGAAGCGAATAACGTGGCCCGAGTTCGTTCGCGCGCTCAACACGAGGTTTCCGGTTAGTTTCGTATCGACGTTGACTACTCTCGACCTTCTCCAAGGCCGAACGCCATCACCTAGGCGTTCGATTCCTTCAGGTTGTCGAAGTACTGCATGATCTGATTGTAGTCCATGCCCAGATTAAGGTCGTCCAGCGCCACCGATTCCTCCTGCTCTTGGGACGAGGACGCGGACGAGGTGGACGACGACGAGGAGGAGGACGAGGACGAGGAGGATGAGGAGGATGAGGACGGCGACGAGTTAGGCGGTGACGAGGAGGACGATGCCACGGTCGGGCTGGACACGTTCATCGACGAGGCGACTGCCGCTGTCGAGAACGACGAGAACATTGGATTACCGACGATCGTCGCTCTCTTCACCTCTCTGGCTCTCACGTCCTTCGAGTGCCTGTTGTCATCGTGCGTCACCAGCTCCACGAACTCCTCCTCCTCCGCGGCGTTCTCTTTCGGACTATCTACTCTAGCTTTACCGTGCGATGGCTTGATATGATGGATCTGCTTGTTGTGCCGCTGGTTGTTCCCGTGATGACTGCCGGCCGCGCTGCCGCTCCACGGCCTGTGAAGATGCTTTATCCGGGTGTCTGGCACTTGCACGATCACCTTCGTGTTCCTGTGCGGCGGCACCGGCGGCTTGTAGTCTTCGTTGCAGTTGTTGTTGGCGGATGCGCCGATCGGGGCAGGGGCCGTCATCGCCGCGATTGCGGCGGTCGCGACGGGCATCCCGTGCGGCGGCAGAGGCGGCGGAATGTCGTCGTTGCTGCAATTAGAATCATTATTATCAGCATTTATCCTTATCCACGTATTCCCATCATTCCACGTGGATTCTAGAAACTGGGACGAGCCGTAACGAAAGGTTTCATCGAACCCTTACGCTGAAAAAAAATTGTCAAACATCACTTCTCGTTTTACCATCTTACATGAGTCTTCCATACGAGGTTATCGTTCGACATTACTTTTTTCTTTTTTAAATTTGATCATGCATTTTATTTTACGCGAATCGATTACCCTCGTCTTCCTGCGTATAAAAGCATCGTGATACGACTATCGAAAGTGCAATACTTTATTTCATACTATACACAAATGGTTCTGTCTTTAACGCATAAACATTTTATTACTCGTTTATTTGTACTTTACATTCTGAAGTTCTAATTTGAATCTTTCGTGCCATCCTTTCGCGAATATATAGCATTATGGAGACGAATATTCCACGCTTATCGAGATGAAAGATAGTCGGGTTAGAAAACAAGTGTATACCGCATTTAGGAATCAGGGAATTAAACCTCTTCCTTGAGGGATTAATGTGTACCTTTGTTTGGGAAAGACTTACAACTTGTCCCAGTTTCTAGAATCACCGCATACTTGTTATAGTAAATATGTACGTTTCAGCGATTGTCTATTGTTACTAGTAATTGCATCCTCACTTGTTTAATCAGTGAATGTTGATTTAAATATTTGTTTGTAATGCATTCGCATTCGTTAGCGATTGTATGCACTCCTTAACGTTTGTTTACCTTTACTATTTTGGTTCGGTGAAAATGTATTTATATTTATTTACATGCAATAGTAGGGATATCTCAGTTTCTTAATTTCATGCTAGAATTCTGTCCTTAAGGGAGGAATTACTGTATCGGATCGACGTATAAGTTTAGAACGATCAAAATGTCTCATCGTGAACATTTTATGTCAAGTGTTGCACATCATTTTTACAGCTCTTTCTTTCCTTTATCGAACGCATGCAGAAATTCTTCCATTCAAGTTAACGACGTAAGTGCTTTAAGTTCGAGTTTGTGGACCGTCGAGTCGAGAAAAACACAATATTACCAGCTATTTCTCTCCGCGCTCGATCAAATGCTTTAGGGGAAATATCTACGATTAAAACGTAAAACAACTCAAGATTTTTCTCTAGCTGGTTATTATACGAAAAGATTTATTTGAACATTCAAAAAAATGAAGAAGATATAGTCACTTTTTTGGAAGCGTGCACTCCGAGTCGAACGATATTCAAGCGAGTAAGCTCCGCAGTCTGTGCACTTGGCACCGGTACCCCTCCCCCCTTTGCCCTGCAATTGGAAATTATGTTATTATTTTAAATAAGAACAAAAACCTGAATAGCATGATTTGGAAAGTTACGCCGATAAGTGGCTTTGAAATAATTGAGATAGCAATGTTTTTTTCTCTATAAAACAAATTTCTTGCTTTTAATACGTATAGAATAATTATTATAATCATTTGTGACATTAACCCTTTTCGCTTTGAACGTAGGTTGACATTGTAAAAATCTATAAAACGTAAAATTTTCTAAATTAATAAATTGGCATACGTACGACAAAATCTGTTGTTTCCTTTTCACAACAGACAAGTAACCGTACATTTTTCCTGAAATATTCTGTTTTTAATTATCAAGTCCATGAAATTAAATTTTGAAATGAGTACAAAGAGTTACAAAATTATTTGACCATTTTTATTTGGATATATGTAAGTCGTCCGTGAATTATGCACATCGTTCAATTATTAAAAAATATTCTTGTACGTGCATTCTTTTAATTAAACAAAAGAGTAGTAAGATCTTTCGTTTTATAGCGCGTTAACTATAGCATATTCCCTTAAATGCTTGCCAAGCTGTTCGAGAATTTTTTGCTGACTATGGAGAAGTCTCTATCGAAGATTCAACGACCCAAAAATGATTCGCAAATTTCAAAGAAGGCAATTCCAAGACGAGTGACATTCCACGGTCTGGGTGACCTTTCGAATTAAATGTGGACCGCTTGAACGTTTTAATCCGCGAGGATCAGCACGAAATAGTTGGAGAATTGTCTCGAGAGGTGGTCTGTGATCATTCAACCACTATCCGACACCTACAATCGTCGAGGAAGGTACAAAAACTCGTTTCGTGGGTGTCGACGACCATCGAATGCCGATAACAAGATTCATCGTGCAACAGTCGCCGCCCTCTTCACTTATCTCCACCATCGTCATTTCCGTCAGAAATATCGACTGTTTCCGATACTCATCAGCGCCGACGATGAGAAACGATGCATGTACGTCAATACGAAGCAAAGGAAGCATTTAAGCCTCGATCGAACGCGAACATCACTAGATTGAAAATGTTGACTTTTATTATTTGGCATTCCATAATCTCGAATTTAAGATCTTCGAATCGAAAAACTATTTGCATTCCATCTCGACGAAGGAAAGAAAGAGCTTTAAAATGACGTATAATGCTTGACTAATAAAAAGATTGCTTCAGAATTTTGATCGAGTTAAACCTTTACGACTTTGTGCACCAATCCAATATTTTATAAATGCGTGGTTCGTTTATTCTAGTTATTTATTAGAGATGTGGTTGAATCGAAGAGAAAATCAATATCGTAAGTGTTAGTGAAAGAAACGATTCGGTTTATCAGATCCCTAGATCCAGTGCCACAGTGAAATTAAATTGGTTCTAATAAAACAAGACCAGTAATATATCCATTGACAATTTTAAATGAAACTGTAAAATATCACAATTCTATTTATGTTGCATTTTTCTCTAGAGTACAATATACCGTGTTCCAAAATATTCGGGTCAAGTTTTGTCAGTATGTTCTATGCAAAAATAATAAAATATTTTATTAAACATTTATAGTTTCATTAAAGATAGTCAAAGAAAGCTAAAATGGTCTGGTTTAAACGATAGAGGAAAGATTCCTGAGTATTGATAGTTGCAACATTTTATATTTTATGTTATTTTGCTAAATAAAGTAAAGTAGGTTCTAGGAAGTAAATTATTCGAATAATTTCATTCGTAACAATTTTACCAAATGCTTTTGACGTAACTGACAATGGATTTATGAAATTTCGTTTGCTTTGATAGCCCGATAGCCTATATTTAACAAGACTAACACGATTTCAATTAAGCCGGTTAAATGAGCTGTCGAAATTTGGATATACAGTCAAGGAGAGTTAATCGGCTTTGCAGATGCAGTCTGGGCATAAAATACGATCGATAGAAAATCGCACAATGGTTTTGCATTTGAATTTATCAGAGCGACGATATGTTGGAGTTACAAGAAACGAACAAGCGTTGCACAATTATCTACGGAGGCGAAATATAGCGCTCGGTTATTAAAAGATTACAAAATATCAAAATGAAGTAGAGGATTCTTTTAACAAGCGTTGTTAATTGAAACGGTGTTGTATGTTATTTTTCCGAAATTATTTGCCTATTTAAAAATTCTAGTATTTTATTTTACATAAGACGATTGCAAAAAATAAAAAATATTAATAGCACACGGGTACGCGAGTCTTAAAAATTACACGGCTCCAAACACGTGTACAGGTGTGTATAAAGTACACGTTCAAAACCATGATCTCTACTCTATTGTTACCGTTATGGATGTAAAATCGACAGAGAGCATTTAGAAGATCGAAAGAGAGAAATAATAGCAAATGAATTACTCGTTTCGTGTAGTGGTCACGGTCGATGTTGCCATGGACGCTGGAGTAGTCACTGTGGTCACAGTCACCGCGGCCGACGGTTTCGAGCCAGGTTTCGAAATGAAACTATTCCTTGGAAGCTTGTCTCTTTTACAGTAGGTCGTTGTGTCGATGGGCCCGGAACTGTTGTTCCGTTGACCCACGGATGGCAATTCGATGTGGTTCGGATTGTCGAAGCAAGTCGCCAGATCGCTCGAATCTCCTTCGGTTTCGTTGGCGAGAGGATTGCTGGTGACTCGTACCTGGAACGACAATGCTCGCTGATTCATTACCCTGATCTATTATAGATAACGGTAATAAATTGGATTCGACGTGGTGGGTGTAATACGATTCGATGGAAGGGAGACGGCTAAAGAGGGGTAAAGGGATGGAGGGGAACTAAATATCAACCCCGGAGATACGCAGTTTACTGTTCGTCCGTGCAATTGAATAGCGTTTCAATAAATCTACGGAATGGCGGATTTAAAATTCCAGTATTGTTCTCTAGATTATAACCACTTACAGGCAAGGTTGTCCAATAATTGATTTCATTTTCTGCTATTCTATTTATGGATAAGTACAAGGAGCAAACGAACGTAAAATATTAAAAAAGTGCTCAGTGCTTGTAATAACATTCGTTGGGTACTTGTTTTTGCGTCAGATATTTTGTTTGTTTGTTTCAAGAAAATTACTTTAATTATTTATTTTAATCTTATTAAATCACTAAATAATTTAACGTGTTAAATAGCATACTTTTAAGAATATCTATCTAGAGTAAATATGCTGTGGTCTTCAAATGTCAGTTGGCGAGATCTGACGAAGGGGGATCCCCCAAGTTTGGAGGGATAGAAATGTTCAATTTACGAATCACGTTAATACCGATCTAAAGTCACATTCTAGGGTTAGGATTAGGGTTAGACGAATATGTCCGAATAAGAAATAGATGCAAAGAATGAAACCTCTACCTGTTGAGGTCCGCAGGCAGCTCTCTCGAGGGTTGCTCTTCCTAGCCAGACCCAATCGTGAGCGTTCGTCGTTGACTCTCTGGGTGGTCGTCTTCCCGACGCCAGCTGGTTGGCCGCTGCTCTGGCCCTCGCTGCTCCGGAGAGGACCGGAAGTACGGCTCCGGTCAGCGGCGAGTCCGGCGGCTGGGGCTTGAACTTGCTGGCGTAGACCACGCAGGAGACGACAAAGACGACGATGGCGAAACAGAAGGCCGCCAGGAGGACGTACATCCCGATCTCGAGTGGACTCATGCGCACTCCCCCGTGATGCCGTATCCCGACGCCGCCCATTCCTCCTGAAGACATGCCATTAGCTATAGCCGTGCGGTGCTGCCATGCCTGCACCAAAGGCTCGTGCTCGTTCTCGTCTTTCAGCGGTAGCCCTTTGCACAGAAAACAAAGAGACAGAAACAGAGAGGAGAAGAGTGAGAAACGATCAAGTGAATAGAGCGTGAGAGCTCCCGAAGCTGCTATCCTTCCCCGCGACCAGCTGGCTGCAGAAAGCGAGACGAAGGCCTGATTACCATGCAAACGTTAATTACTGACGAATCGAGGACCGCAACAATGGACTCCAGTTACTAATCAAAGTTCATGCCAAATATTTTGATCATTCCAAAATCTAGAGTCTAGATCTATATAACAATTTAACACTTATTCCCTTAGATCTTATTCTATTCAACGCGAAATATAATTCAATTTTGCAATTCAGATTGCAGTTTTAATCGAACGTCGCAAACATTTTTTAATCTTTGAAATTTCTATCTAGATACGGAGTCGCGAGCGACGTCAGAAATTGCCTGCACCCTTACGGTATCATCGCGCGTCTTCGCGTTCGAAAGACAGGCAACGTCCGCAGGTCTGCGCGAGGAGACATGAAATATAGTAACGGAACATCAAAGCGGCATAATAGGAGGCCTTGGGCGATCGCATGAGCAGTCGTTTTAATATCTTGTACATCCTCGACTCGTTTCATTAAATACGACTAAACACTTATCCAATAGCAAAACGTGCTCAGAAGAAAAAGATTTCGATGATGGAAAGTGAAAGCACAGACGAAATATACGAGTAGATCTTATACATTATATTTTCGGTAATGAATTTTTTTCTCGAAAGTGGCTAAGATTTTGGGGGTATGTCTATTCACCAAAAATGTTTGTAACTGACCCCCCTATCTAAAAATAATTTTTTAATTTCTCATCCGTGAGAAGAGGACACTAAACTCGGAATTTTCAGCTTGGTATGGCAGTTAGATTGGGCCACGAAAGTCCATAATGTGTAAGATCTACTCGTATATATACCTTTTCGATGTTACCGAAAGATAATCGTGCAGTGACGTTCTGAGAAAGAGAAGCAGTGCGAGATGCAAATGGGGAACAGGGATCTATTTACCTATGAGAATGTCACGCATGTCAGGCGCCATTTCCCCCCTGCTGGTCTTCCTTTCCCTGTGATGATGCGACCCGACTGTTCCGCCCCCGTCGTTCTGCACGAATTCTGGTCGATTTGGGAGCTCGCTGGAGGCGAAGTCCACCTCGACGTTGGCCGAGGCACTGGCCAGCGCGGACGCTGTGGCCCTTTGAGAACCTTTCCCGGACCTCCTGCCGCCTAGACGACAGGCGTCGGCCAGCTGAAGATTAACTCTTAACAAATCGCCACGACCTTCGCCCACCGCGATCACTCGGGGATGATGGGAAGCGACCATCGGCGCGAAAGCCACTACCTCCGGATCCAAGCTCTCGACTAACAAGTGGTAGTCGGTCACGGCTATTTCCCTTAACGGTGTCCTTGTTCCATCCGAGAATTCGACGTCTATGTCAAGAAGGCCCTCCTGCAGAAGCATTTGTTAAGAGAGTATTACTTGTAAGCAATTTCTGTTCAACTTACAAGTCTGTAAAATAGTTATAAACGTTCTGTAGAGCGAAGTTTTTGTATGACTCATTTATGGGTGACACGGTAATACCCGTGTTAAAACAGAGACAGATATCTTACGATACCGTGTCAAGTTCCATAAAAAAAATTAAAACCGACCCTAACTTAAAACCGACAAGCCCTATACCCATCGGACAACTTTCTCGACTCCCGGACACTCGAGTAACGCCACCGGTTTTCCACCCCCCACTGATTTTACGAGCTCGTCGTGCATCTACCACCCGAGTATTATACCTGGCGTGATTCATAGTCGTGGAAGCGTGGTCTCGACAGGCCGATCGAACTGCTACTTCGACCGATACTTAACAACGAATGCATTACAAACAGATACGGGTTATTTCACCTGGTACTTAGCAGTCAGTCTCCTCGTAACCGACGTCTCCGCGATGTATCCGTTCTCGATGGCTGTATCTGGACTGATGGTGAGCTGCAGGCCAGACACGACTCTCACGGATAGCCTGGTGACCGCCACTCGATCATTCCCGACTCGTACTTCCTTCGCGCCGATCACCCTGCCAGTGATCGGCGAGAGCACCTGCACTTCCGTTCTGCCCATACCGCGACCTTGGACCACCCTCCCTTGCAAGAGAATCGCTATTCTGGGATCCGAGACCCGGAGCATGCCCATCACCAGGTCGGTGACGCGCAGCCAGGTACGACGGTTCACGAAATACGAGTCCCTTCCGGAGTCGTGGTCGGTGGCCAGGAATCTCGCGTGAACCTCGACGGGACTCTGCTGGAACCGGAGCCTGCAGTTGGTGGATGGTCCCCTTTCGATGGAATTGATCGCGTCCCAACCGTGGTCGTTGCCACGGAATCTCTCCTCTTGCTCGTCCTCCTCGAGAATCACGTCCGCGTCATCAACGTCCAACGAGGTGTCGTCCACGGAGTCCTCCAGTTCCGCCGCGCTCCTCTTTTTCGTTTTCGCCGCGGACTCGTTCATTCGCGAACCAGTGGCGTTCAAGCTACGTTTGCTCTTGGCCCCGACCGTGTGCTCCTCCGGTACCTTCCAGCCCTTGATCTGACTCAATCTGGTGTCCCCGACGGTCACCTCCAGTGGGAAATCCGGCATCCAGACCGTGAATTTCGCCAACCCCGTGTAAGTTCCGTATTTGACGAGGACAGACGCGTTGCTGGAGCCACGAATCTCCGTACCGTCTACGTACACGCTGCTGCAGGAAGACGACACCTGCAACGTGAGATTGTCGTGAACAATATTCTACGAGTCTACTCCGAATACATTTTTTTTTATACCCCTCTGTTATCTAGAATTTAAATATTCTTCGTGTGAGATACGATAAAACTTAGATATTGGCTGTCTTTTTATGTAAGATTAAGCTATTTTTATTAATTCGGTTGGGTACTATTGATCTGCGAATGTGTATATTTTTGTACAATTTACTTAGGTGCATGTTTAGTAATAATTAGAACAAAAATAGAGTTGGGATATTGTTGCACCACGCCCAAAATATTACTAGCTCCGAACTGTGGCGTTACAGCTAAAATTGTAAATTAATTGTGTAACGACATTCTTTTTATATTACTATTTTTAGTTTTCCTAGAAATATGTACTTTCACAAGTTTGATGAAATTTGTAGTATACTTGTCGTATTTTCATTTCTTGTTATAAGCCAGATTACAATTTCCAGGCCGAGAGTGTTATGATGATGACATGTTAGTATGATCGGACAAATTTTTACCTGAAAGTAATTATTGAGAAAACCCGTGAATTATCAAGTTCTCTGACCCTTCCCTGATGACGTGTCATAGAGAATGTTTTCAATTTGTCCTAATTTTAGCAACGAAACGATATTTTTATCTTTAGTCTGCGTTCAAAGGGAAATGTCACAAGTGGCTGTAATACACGCGAAACAGTCAAAGGAATTTATAAACAAACGGTCGGTGCATTTTAAGGAAACAAAAATAGTTGACGATGTACTAGAATATGCTACGAAACAAAAGACTTCGCGTCAAGGCAGGCAAAATTGAAATTATTTAAACGCAGAGAGAACGACAAAAATGCATAGCTCTTTTGATATCGACGGAGAAAAGTTTAAAAGGAAAAATGTAAATTGGTTTGTTACTAGAGGGCAGTGATCCCAAACAGAGAAGTCGCATCCGGGCAGAATAGTAAGCAGAAAATGATATTAAAGTATCGCGAAGCTAAAATTCTGAAGAAAATGTGTGTGGAATATAAAAATATTATTATGTAGTTTATTACCTCGAGTACGTATTGTCGAGTTAATTAAAATAATGCAATGTAAAACATTTTTAGACAACAATGGCAATTAAACCACACTCGTTAACATGAAAGCGTCGTAGCACTTTGTAAGCAGAACTTTTATAATTATTTTTACGCCACTACAACATGTAGTTTTTAAATAATGTCTGCTACGCTCCTATTAAATAGATTGTACAGAATATATGTTACGGGCGAAGTTAGTGAAAAGGATAGACATAGAATTACCCGTGGCGTACTTAATATTACACACGATCCTTGAATAAAGTCCGAAGTTTAATTTAGATAATACGAGTTTCAAACTTTACCTCATTCTTACGCATTTCGTATTCTATCCAATACCGCAAAAAAGTAAAGCATGCACTGAAAAGACTACCGAAACCTATTTTCGATTTTAAGCTGTATTCACTTTTAAAATTAGTTTTAAATTTACACCAAAAGTGGATTTTGACTTCGCCTCTAGCATGCTTCTGTTTTGTTTACAAATTGGGTAGAATCCGGCTTAGTAAATTGAATTAAACTTTAACACGTATGCGTTCAAATTTCGAATATTATAATTTGTACATCGTACAAAATATTAGTGCATGTTCGGGTACAAATACGCAATCAAATGTAGGACAAAATAGAGGATTCGTGTTTTTACGTACAAATAATAATCATCGTTTTCATTGGCTGCTAACCCTTAATATGGCACTTTTACCTAGTAGGTCGAATGTTTATTGTCACAAATTCGTTATTCTATTATTCTGAAAGTATACCAGTAAATTTTCACTAAAAAATAAATATCGTTCATACTATGCTTGACGTAAAAATATTCAGTCCAGGATTTCTCTTGGAAATACTTCTGGACCGTTAAGGGTGAATGGTACACGATGGTTGTTTTTCAAGTTGCAGGAATCCCGACCCGTGTAGGGATGAGAATTTCGCGGCGGAGAATTCAACGAGCTTAAACCGTGCCTAAAGTACCAGGATAACTACGTACCTTGAGCACGCTTTCGTCCTCGGAGTGACAGGAGGATTGCAGCGTGACGTCGGCCACGGTCCCCGCCTGGCTGACGATGAAGACCTTCATCCCCTGGGACACTTGCCGGCCCGTCAGCACCGCGGTGTTCATCACCTCCCAGTTCTGCGACAGCGAACAGAAACGAACTCGATTAAAGCGTCGCCTTTGTCGCGACACGGTCGTCGCGGGGCTCGTTAAAACGCTCCGAAACTCCATTTAGGAGAGTCGTTGGTCGATTTAAGGGTGGGGGGGGGCGCGATCGTTTCCGACAGGAACGCGACGGCGGCGGCCTTTGTTTGCTCCCGAGGGCACGCTGTCGGAAAAGTTTTACGCGAAACGGTCGCGGATTCGTGGCCAAGGAGAGGCTTTAAAAGGGCTTTTCCGACGGGTCGGTCGAAATCGGCCGTTCGACTGTTTCGTAGGATCGTCGTGTACGTGAACGGTCGCGCGGGGGCGTGCGACGGCCACGGAAGTTATTCCACGCGCGCGCCCCCCGGTTCCTGTACAGTTTGTGTGTGTACTTTGCAACGAGAGCGGACAGGGTGGAAAAGGGGACGCGGGGAGGGCGCAGGGACGAGTCCGGTGCACGAAGCCATTTCCAAGTTGGCTTCCGCACAGTCTGCCCTTTGGAAGGAACATCAAACGACTCGGATATTGCAGCGAGGGAATTTAAATCTCTGACCCCGAGAGCCGCTCTCTATCCGTCCACCCACAACCCGCCCCATCGTGCCGTGTACGTGTCGCGACGGTCACCCACACGACGTCGTTGGCCCTTGGCTGTGCATCGACGAGACCGATCTCGCGTTCTTAACACGGCGAAAAAGGTGCCGTGGAGTACGTTCGAGTGTTCCGCCGGAATTTGTCCCCCTCCGCCGCCCTAAAATATTCGCCCCGCGATCGCGGATATTCTTCGTAACGCGACGGGCCGCCCCCTCGTCCCCCCCGAGCACGCGAGATCAAGAGTATTCGGAAAATTTTTCAATATTTCGACCGGATGGGACCGAGAACGCCCGGAACAGGGCGAACCAAGCTCGAACGAATTCGTAGCTCGGCGAATTTTATTTGCAAACGACAAATAAACATTTTATATTTATTCGTCGAATCGGGCTTTCTCAAACACGATACAATTTACTTAGAAATTTATGAGTATAAAAGATCCGCTGGAGCAGTGGTTTTCAATCCGAAGGTTCACGTCAAATATTTAACTTCGTTCGAAAATATCAGCGTGTTTCTTTTATATAAAATATGAAATGCAGGCTGATACTGTTACTTGCTGACGCTTTAAGCGAATATAAATATTTAATATTTTTACGCGCAAGTTGTTTACGGACCCCTAGAAATCTACGACCCCCTTGGGATTCATAAAACTTCGAGTTGAGATGCACTGTTCCAACGGATCCAGGACGAAACGTCATAATTTTCATTGCTCTCGCAACCTACGAACGTTACCTGTATTAATACCGATGTTGAAAAATTCGAAGATGCTTTGCAGGGCATCCCCGAGCCGAGCTATTCAAGATAGGGGAATTTAGGTCGCTCCAGCAACGACGAAAATAATCAGGGTGCATGAGTGGTGTGTGGTTCACTCGTCGGAGCAAGCGGGCTGGTTTTGGCGATATCGTAGTCGAGAGGATCTAGGACTCGAAGATCAACAGCAAGCGTAGCTATGAATACCTCTTTCTTACGCTATAGACTCTACCGTCTCATCGAGGCCCAGATATTTCAATGGATGGCGCAATCGTTCTGCATACAAAATGTCTTCGATATAGCGGATTCCTTTTCTTTTGCGGAATAATCAGAAACCTTCCCCCTTCAACTTCGAAACGGATCGCGATGTTTCGCCCACGAATATACGATGTTAACGGTAGGACGACTCTGATCGATTGCCAAATCTGGAGAGTAGATCATTTTCGAAATCGGTCGATTACATGAATACCAACGCCCAGCCGACAGTTTGACAAACCTCAGTCGACAAATATTGCTTTACAGCTAGTAAATGCATAGCACTTGATCCACGAGCTTTTGAATACCTTTCAAACTGTACATCTGTCAACGTAGTGTACATATTGTAAAGTAAAGAGACCGTGGGGACCATAAAATCCCAGCAGAGTATCGATGTGACTTATCGCGATCAAGGTATAGTTTGCTGAAATTTATATACATACGTATATTCGACCTTACCATCGAACTGATATTCGTATTTAGAATTTACTTATATTACAGCATCTTTTCGAGAAAATGAATCGAACAAAATTATGTATTTAAAAATGTAAAATAGTCAAACTCAATTTCTAAGTGTTTTTTAAACGGTCAATTTTAAGTTGAAAGATACGTTATATATTAGGAAGCAAAGTTCACTTTATATCGTATAATCATGATAAATATACAAATATTGATTTATACATTAAAATGGATGAATTTAAATTTTGATTTATTGTACGTACAATATGCATAAATACTTTTTCGAAAACGTTTGCGACAATGTCATTTCATCGAATCGATATTTTAGTTATTGTATCCTCTAGGTGATATTTAATTCACATTTAAATTTGTAAACATAGCAAAATACATAAAAATATTTTTTAATGCTTTGTAACGTCTGTTAATTTCAACTGATAATATATCGCAAATAATATTGAATCAATATATAACAGGAAATTAAATACCTGCCAATTGCATATCACTATTTTCTTTTTCATTAAAATGTAATATTTCCTTCGATTTCCGGCTTCATCGAACGTATAACGTTTATTGTTAATTAATAATTCGGTCTCTATTGTATCAAGCAGTTTAATATTATAACTAATGTCTGATATTTACTCATGATGATTTTAATAGAGATACAACCCGTTCGAAATCGAAAGATTTTTATTTACCGCGTGTAACCGTTGTGGAATCGAGTGCTATACGAAAAGAGAACGAGTTATTTCAAATTCTTCAAAGAACCTACTCCGGTTTCTTACTTCTAGATTTGTCAAAGGTTTTTCCTTGAGACCTGTAGAGAGTGTAAATAAAATTTCTTTTACAGTAAGAAAATTTATCTTAACAGCTAGAATTGCATCTACCCTTGCGTAACATTTAATATCACTACTACATTTGATATCTTTCGAGACTATTTTTATTCAAAAATCATATTTTTCTTTTACTAGAAAAAAACACGAAATAAAATTTAAAAAATATACATTTAAGTGTTTAATCTTTTAAAATATGTAAACAGGATTCTTTTATTTCTTTCCAATTTTACACCTGCTGCATCAGAGTTTTAAAATGTCTGTATATGTGCAAAACAAGGTTCATTTATTTTAAAGATCCATACAGATAATTGTTACTGCAACGAATCATGTATATACCGATACATCGTAACATTTCACATTAATTTCAGTGTAAGGGATGTTAAACAACAATCGTGGTTGACAAAAAAAAATAGAGACGCAAAAAACGCTCCAAAATTATATTTACACATATTTCAGGTTAAAATATTTGTAAAATACTTTTAGAACATTTATAAATAAATATAAAGCATTGTTATATAGTTAGAATTTGGAAAAAAAAATAATGAAGAAAAAAAATACTAAGTCTAGAAGAGAGACTCGAACTTATGGTAAAAGAACTTCCAGCGATTCCAAAAAACTTTCAAAATATCGCTGATTTTTTAGGATACATGTGCTCAATGGTTGGCTTTATTTTATTTGTTTCAATTGTTATGTAATTCTGCTTAGTGTAGAAACATTAAATAGTCCACAAAACACTCATATATTGAAGAATGCATAAAAATTCAACGTGTAAGTTACTCTAATACGCAGAAAATGAGGAAAAAATCGGTTTTTATTTTTTTTCACTGCGGCGCACCAAAATGAAAAAACTGATAAAAATTGAGAATATTAGTAATAGCAATACCTGTTTACTGTAAAAGTATAAAAGTAGTTCCGGACCTCCTTCAATACGTAATCGACATTTTTCGACATTTTTTGCGGTTCTTTATTTTTTACTACCTGGTTCTTCAACCAAAAAATCTGAAAATCTCCCAAAATATGTGCCCCGGTACCCGAAATGTCTCTGAATTTTTTTACATTTTTTTACTTAATAGGTCAAGAGAAATTGTACAAAAACATGATTTTCGTTTTCACCCCATTACTACCCCCACGGTCGAGATTTCAAGTTAAAAATTGGCACACAGGGTTTTTTTTGGATAAGCTATCGAATGACCCGTTCGTTCAATTCGGTTTGGGGGCATATTTGACCCCCTTATTCGGCTATACCTTTATATTTGGTGCGAACTTGCGAATTTTTATAAAAAGAGTTCGAAAACAGTTTCGAAGTATGTCTGCAGCAGTTTCTGAGCCGTTTCTTCGTATCGGTAGTCACGCGTGCGATCACGGGCCACGTTAAAACAAACATCGAACGCAACGCGGGCGCTCGTTCATGGAGAATCGAAGTTCCAAGGAAGTTCGCGAACTACGACGTGTCTACAGGGCCGATCAGAGTTCGTCGGCTTCGAACTGGCGAAGTTTATCGGAGAAATCTCTGATCCACTTAGCGAGTTCGCGTTCTCCGTCTCGGCAAGATTTAGCTATGCATTATCGGGTGGCGGGGGCGTGGACTGATGGTCGTCAAAGGGCTCGAGTGCCCAAGAGGAATTCCCTAGCCAGTTTCTTATCCCCGCGGCCGCCTGACCGGGCTGAATATTTATACCGTGCCGTATCAGCTGCCGCCGAAATATTTTCTTGCCGTTGATTAAACGCTCGGAGGCTCCTCGGTCGGGTTACCAGGAAGGCCTGGTGTCAATGTTGGCGCTAAGCTTGGACCAGAGGGTTTACGAGGAAAGCAGAACGTGGGTCTCTCTTTTAATTAAAAACTTTCCTCTCCTCCCACCTCCTCCTCGACCTCGTCACGCGGGGGGAACGGCAATTAGAGTAAGGATAATCAAGAAGCGGCGGCAAGCTTCCGACAACTTCTCCGTCGCGACGCTTTCAAAGGAATATGTAAGCGAATTAATTAACCGATTAATCAATCAAGATGCTCTCGCGACGCAGTTCCCTGCACGGATCCCTCGACTCGGTTGACCGACCGTTCCCGATTTCGAGTCGTTTAATTCGCAGTGGGGGAGGGGATCGATGGCGCGA